TAAAAAGATGTTAAAATTTTACACATCCACACAACAGCATCCACATCATAGTTTTTTTGCTTCAAGTCACTTACTGTTTAGTTCCTGAATGGAGTGAAAGAAGGTTTTAATGGACTTGAACATTGTTCATATTGTCTTGATTTTCAATTACAAAAATATTTTTTCAAGTATTAATTAAGAAAAATTAATAAAAAATCAAGCATAGCCAGATAACATTCATAATATTAAAACAAACATATAATGTAATGTAAAATCAGTAAATTAACATGATGATATCATGTCAATTTACTGTCTAGTACGTTCATGTTTCAAGCATTCCAATTCCAATATTCAAACAGGTAAAGAATTAAGACTGCAATACAAAAGTAACTGCTTCAGTACATATTAAGACTTAATCAATTTTTATGTAAGTTTTCGACTTAGAAAGATTTAGTATATATAAACTTGAAAGTAGTGTTTAAAAAAAGACCAAAACTTTTTGTTATTAAGGTTCTTATGCTGCTTTAAAAGGTTAAATCTTAATACAACTGCAATTAATTCAGATCTATTTACGTTACTTACAATCCAGACAATTTATAATTATTATTTAATATTAATTAAAGCTAAATTAAGATTTTTCAAAGTCAGAGAGTCATTTGGCTATTCCATTTTCTTTTGTTCAAATTCAATTTTTTTAAAAATAGCATAAACAAACTTATGAGGAATTTGTAACATTAATGCAAAAACAATCAAAATCAATCATTAACACATCCCATAAAATAGCCATTAAAAATCATACAAAAAGTAAAATTTGAGATATTAAATATTTAAATTTTAATTATATACATTACCTGAGATGCATTCGGTGCAATTCTAAGACCAGCTGCTACACCGTTATGAAATAATGGCCACATATTCATGTTTGCGGGAACGTCAATGTGAGAAAGGTCAACTGTCGTATTTCTAAAATGGTTTAAAAAAATCTTTTAGTTCACGTAAATAGCAAATCACTCAGATCGTAATTAATAACTAGTTATCAAATCACTGTAGTAGTAAGAAATTTTACAAAGCTTATTCCAAAATGAAGGGCCAAATGGTTATAATAATTGACTGGTAATAGACTCTCACACAGTAGCATCAACTGGTACTCTGGGCTTCTAACAGCCAAACTTTCACCAATCTGCTGTTGGTTGTTTTTGTGCAGTGAGTTATAATGACTGCAAAAAATCAACATAAATCATGTAAAATTTATGAACCTATAGCAGAGAGTGAAGAAAAAGTAAGAAAATCATGTTGTGTGTACAAATGTTCACAATAAAGATCAGAGTGATAGGCCTAGAGTTCAGACTGATGACCTTGTTAAGCATGCAAATGCCAGTGTGAATTGGCACTCACAATTAGTGCTCTCTCCATAAACTTTCCAGATATTTCACAGACAACATTGATCCAAATTGTTACTGAAACCTTAGGCTATCAAAAACCTTATGCAAGCTGGATATTGAAAATGCTGACAGACATTCATAAAAACCACCAAATGTCACCTGCACATGCATTTTTGGACCACTGCAAAAGAAATGATAATGAATCTTTTTCCCCCCATACTGAGACTGATGACAAAATGTGGATTTCTTATGCCAATGTAGAGTCCAAACAACAATCCATGCAATAGCATCATTCAAATTCATCAAAGGCAAAGAAGTTCAAGCAAAGTCAATTTGCCCAAAAGATTATGGTAACTGCTTTCTGAGACCAAAACAGTATGTTTTTGGTTGATTTCACAAAAGCAGGAACAACAAACACAGCAAAGGTATATTGTGAAACACTTTCTAAGCCAAAACATCCTATTTGCAACTGGTGTCATGAAATGCCAGCATCGGGAATTGTTCTGCACGACAATACACATCTGCATCCATCATTCCAATGTTTTGGCAATTCAGATGAAAATTGTTTGATCGCTTCCTTACAGTCCAAACCTTGCATCCGGTAACCATTGCTTTAAGAAGTGGCTTGCATCTCAATAATTCAAAGAAACCGAGGAGTTGCAAACAGCAGTGCTGGACTAGTTGAACTTGCAGTCGACAGAATTTTATGCAGGAAGCATAAAGAAACTTGTTTCATCATATCAGAAGTGCTTGAAAAAAATGGTGACTATGTAGAAAAATGAAGAGGTTACACGAGTGTTTGTAACCAATGATAAATTTTTGACAAAGTTTTTTTTTTCTTTTGTATAACCATTCAATCCTTTTTATTGGAATGCACCTCATATTAGAAATAATTATTTTCCAAAAATTATTAAAACTGAATGAATTAAAATATTCAAACTTCACACATTGCCCATCATTTTGTCATTTTTTTAAAAATTATTTACAAATTAAAAATTGCCACCTCTCCATTCATAATTCATTAAAATACAAGACGAAATTAGCTACGATTTTATTCTATAATTTTATAGCAATCTTTATTAATTTATTTACATATAGATTATATTTTTCTTTTAAAAAAAAATCTATTATTCTCTTTAATCATTAAATAATTGTAAAAAAAAAAAAATCACTTAATAATTAAACAGGTATTATTAGCTTTATTTTTACTAAACTTAATTCATTAATAATAGTAATTTATCAAGACATCTAAACAGTATCAGGAAATTCCAATCTCTGGTAAAACTTCCTAAAGTATAATATTTTTATAAACTTTAATTTTTTTTTTTTTTTTTTGACTCTCCCATTTTATATGCATTAGGAAGTTTTTCTCCCATACCCATTGCATGTTCAGCCAGGTCCACAACAAGAACAGCACAGTGCTGATCAGCAAGGTCCGACATATCCAGAAACAGTTACCCAGAGCAGCTGATTTTTAATGGTATATATTTCATATTAAACATATTTTTCTTTGAAATAATCATATTAGTTTCAAGTTAACCAAGTACTGATTTTCACTTCAATAAATGTATTAAAGATATCAATTTTAAATCCATTTTAAAAGTTGTTTTTAACTAATTTAATGAGTTTTGTAATATTTTCCATTAACTTTCAATATTTAAATGCTAAAAGAAGTACAATTTCATTACTGACTTTTCAGAAATTAAAAAAGTTATCAAAGAACAATAATACAACATAAATAAATTCATTAGATAGCACTAAAGGAGGTAAATGTCTGTAGTAATAAAAAATAAAGTGATAGAAGAAAAACTAATTCATACATTTTCCATCAATAAATTTTAATGACAAACATTTGCAAAGTTAAATAACTTCAGAAATGAAGTCATTTATTAGATTTTATAGTTTTTTTTTATAACAAATGCTTAATATCTTTTATATTAATGATTGTTATTATCAAAACATATATAAGAACTTATTCCAGAAATATATTCATCCAAAACTTAAAGACAAATGCAAGTGATAGCTAGAAAAAGTCACCGAGCCAGTCAGTGACAAGTCTGTCACACCATAAGCACTGAATCTCTTCTGCTTTGGTATTGATAAGTATTTTCCATCCATTCTCCACCTATGTCCAACTAATATATGTATCTTTCTCATCACACTTTTATTGCTCTATTCTGCAAAATCCTATGAATTGTTGCCTACTACCCTGTGTTAGATGTCAAGGAATACAGTTCTTGCCATATTTGTCTGCATTTGTCTACATTTCTCTCTATTCATGTACAAATGACATATGTCCTCAAGTTTTGGATGTGTGTGTACATTATGTTAAAATTCGTAATGAGTTTATATATTGTGAAAGATTATAAAAATATTTTACTAATGAATAAGAAAATTTCTCTACCTATTCTACATATGTAATAGCTAAAATAATCATAGTTGAAATAAATAATTCTTATATTTACAATTATTTCTAATTTAAAATGAATTCTAATATACTTTAAGAGAAGTTCAGTTGCTGAATAATTGCATTCTTCATAAAATAAAGAAATATGTAAATAAATATAGAATAAATGAAATTCAGAAATATTCTTGTAAATTAAATAAATTTAAATTTTATTATTAAAATACATTTCTTTGAATATCTTCATAATTTATTGTAATATCTTTTGCCTATCAGTTATTATTAGACATTTAATTATCAAAACTTCATTCCTAATTATTATTTCAATACATTAGCTTTAGAATAATTTAATCTTATCATCAAAACCCCTGCTCAGCAATTTAAAAATAGAGAAGTTAATACACAATTTCAATAAGATATAATATTGGTTAATATATATTTTAATATATAATTTATAAATTAAATAATTATACATGTATTTTAAAATTGGAAATTTAAGATTAAATACATGTATAATTACTTAATAATTAATATCTTATGGCAAGATTAATAATTCATTTATAATAAAACAAAAGTATGATCTGAAGAAGATTAATTTTAAAAATCAAAATACATTTTAGAAATTTAATACAGACTCTTCTAACTATAAAATGTCTATCCTTTATCATCACATATTTTTGAACATAATAAAATGATAATATTCTTGTAACCTANATACAGGGCTAGTCAAAAGCCCCATGAATCCTTTTCATTCCAAAAGTACTTATATATATTAACAAAATTACATTAACAAAATTAAGTCATAGGAAGTCATGCATATGCATAGAAAATCAGATAAAAGTTACACCATAACTGACCTTGAAAAATCAAGGTAATTTATGTTGTAACTTTTAATGAGCAAAGGTAGCATAAAATTTCCAATGACAAAGTTAAAAAGCATTATTTAATTAGTCTAAAACCATTTTCTAGATTCAAATAAACACATTAGCACTGCATAATTTGCAATTTATAAATTTTAGTAGTAAAGGTGATTGTTTATGTAATATTGAAAATTATTTTATAGGTCAAAAAAGATCTATTTAATCTCTCCATATATGACTTACATAACTACATTAATTTCATTAATGTATCTTCAATATTTTTGGAATGAAAAGAGAGCAAAAAACTTTAAACTCACCCTGTATATTGCATAAAAACTTAAAAGTGTGACAATGGTAATTGATGTAAGAACTTACTTGGCAGCTGCCAAACCCAGCAATAATCCAACACTAGTCAATTCATGTCCCTAAAAATATATATAAATTATTAACTTTAAATACTTTTTGATATTCTATGGAAACAAAAACGTCTGAAAACCAATACCTTACAGAGATAATCATGCACACTCATTGTTGCCAAGTTGGACAAATGTCCATTCAAACCTAATGCCATAAGAAAACCTGCATGTTCTACTGGAGTATCGTTACTAATGGTCGAAGGTTTATTGTATACAATCCAAGTGGAATCAATCTGCACAAGAAACAATTATATAATTTTTGTATTACATATATAATAATTCATAGTTTTATAATAAATTTAAAATATATTATTTAAGATTTCTATTTTCATAATTTCAAAGCTGTGGTCGTCATAAAACAATAAATTATAAATTAAATAAATCATATATACATTGCACTGACTGCACTGAACATACCTATATTCTAGATACACCATAATTTAACCCTAGGAAGGTTTTTCTATTTTTTTAAAAATTTACAAACTTGAGTATTATGGTATTACATAAAAAAATTATATTTATAGGAATCTTAAATCTTATTAAAGGACTATTGATTTATTTTAAATAAAAATTGAATATTTATTTCCATATTGCAAGAAAGATTTCATGTTGGGGAAAAAATTAGTTGATATTTTATTATACAGTGGTGCCTCGTATAACGTACGCCTCGAATAACGAATGTTGTGAACAACGGACTTTCCGTTCGGCAGTTACGTTAGGCGAACAATGGACTTTCTGCGAACAAGTGCGAATGACATTTCCACTCTTTTGCCATTGCCAATGACAATCTGCTATTTTTATAACATACTAATAATATATTCTAATAATAATAATATATCTGAAGTACAGAGCTCCCGTTGGGATTCGGCTTGCTCCCTTGTTTATTATGTACATCACCTCAGTGCAGGGTATTTACATTTATTCAAGTGTTGTGCAAATCATGGCTTCTAAAAAAACAGAAAGGTGATTTCAATTGAAACAAAGCAAGAAATCATCAGAAGGAGTGAAAGTTGACAAAAACTTCCTTGTCAAATGGGGAGAGGTTCAGGAGTTTACCAACACTCATTATCCAAACACAGTTGAGGCCAACAGGATCAATGATCTCTACAATGACACCCTTGCCCGTCATTTCCGACAGGTGTTGAAGAAGAGAGAGAAACAGACCACTTTGGACATGTTTTTCAAAAAGCCAGCTGTCAAAAGACAAAAGATGGAACAAGAGGAGTTGACCCTGCAAGCCCCAGTAGCCTCTCCTGAATCTGACTCCGATTAAAAAACAATAAAAAGAGACCTGCTGCAATGTGTAAAAAGTCTGTATCTGTATGAATGTGTGAATAAAGTGATCCTCCACCTCCTCCTCACAGCATCTGACTACCCAGCATAATCAGTGACTGCTCCATTTTCATTTTTTTTTATGGTACAGTACAATTATTTTGTGCTGCGGAACGAATTATATGTTTTAATATGTATTTCTATGGGAAAATGCGTGTGTGTGTAACCACCACTATACGAATATGCCATCATATTATACCTGCTACAATGTATGTATACACCCTTTGTCAGAAAAGTTCCAGGACAAAGCTCATAAAAAGTAGAAAATTGCAATTACCAAGGATCCTAGCTCCTGTCAAAGTAGTCCAACATACACATTCTACCTATCTATACACAATTGTGTACAGATAGCTGAGGGGACTACTTTGACAGGAGCTAGGATCATTAGTAATTGCAATTTTCTATTTTTTTTATGAGCTTTGTCCTGGAACTTTTCTGACAAAGGGTGTGTGTGTATAGATGTGTGTATGTGTATGTATATATATAGTAAAGAATAATAATAATATACAGGGGTTGGACAAAGTAATGTAAACACTTGTATAAAAGCAGTGTCCCAAGACAATAGTGCACCTATCCACAGTGCCAAATGGGTCTGGCTGTGGTTTGTTAAACATCAGTTCAATACCTTCCTTGGACTCCGTAATCACCTGATAATTGAAACATTGTAGGAAATCTTGGAAATTTTCGTGTATGGTGGTTTCCTCTCCCACAGACACATTCAGAAAATTGAGTTCATTCTTTATAAAGAATGGACAGACATTTCTCTCCATTCATAAGCAGTAGGCGACTTGAAGCAAAAAACTTCATAAAATTGATTGATAAACACTATTAAAAAATATATATTAAAAATGATCTCGACATCGACCTTTTATATTAAGATTTGATATCTACAAAACTTTAAAAAGATGTTAAAATTTTACACATCCACACAACAGCATCCACATCATAGTTTTTTTGCTTCAAGTCACTTACTGTTTAGTTCCTGAATGGAGTGAAAGAAGGTTTTAATGGACTTGAACATTGTTCATATTGTCTTGATTTTCAATTACAAAAATATTTTTTCAAGTATTAATTAAGAAAAATTAATAAAAAATCAAGCATAGCCAGATAACATTCATAATATTAAAACAAACATATAATGTAATGTAAAATCAGTAAATTAACATGATGATATCATGTCAATTTACTGTCTAGTACATTCATGTTTCAAGCATTCCAATTCCAATATTCAAACAGGTAAAGAATTAAGACTGCAATACAAAAGTAACTGCTTCAGTACATATTAAGACTTAATCAATTTTTATGTAAGTTTTCGACTTAGAAAGATTTAGTATATATAAACTTGAAAGTAGTGTTTAAAAAAAGACCAAAACTTTTTGTTATTAAGGTTCTTATGCTGCTTTAAAAGGTTAAATCTTAATACAACTGCAATTAATTCAGATCTATTTACGTTACTTACAATCCAGACAATTTATAATTATTATTTAATATTAATTAAAGCTAAATTAAGATTTTTCAAAGTCAGAGAGTCATTTGGCTATTCCATTTTCTTTTGTTCAAATTCAATTTTTTTAAAAATAGCATAAACAAACTTATGAGGAATTTGTAACATTAATGCAAAAACAATCAAAATCAATCATTAACACATCCCATAAAATAGCCATTAAAAATCATACAAAAAGTAAAATTTGAGATATTAAATATTTAAATTTTAATTATATACATTACCTGAGATGCATTCGGTGCAATTCTAAGACCAGCTGCTACACCGTTATGAAATAATGGCCACATATTCATGTTTGCGGGAACGTCAATGTGAGAAAGGTCAACTGTCGTATTTCTAAAATGGTTTAAAAAAATCTTTTAGTTCACGTAAATAGCAAATCACTCAGATCGTAATTAATAACTAGTTATCAAATCACTGTAGTAGTAAGAAATTTTACAAAGCTTATTCCAAAATGAAGGGCCAAATGGTTATAATAATTGACTGGTAATAGACTCTCACACAGTAGCATCAACTGGTACTCTGGGCTTCTAACAGCCAAACTTTCACCAATCTGCTGTTGGTTGTTTTTGTGCAGTGAGTTATAATGACTGCAAAAAATCAACATAAATCATGTAAAATTTATGAACCTATAGCAGAGAGTGAAGAAAAAGTAAGAAAATCATGTTGTGTGTACAAATGTTCACAATAAAGATCAGAGTGATAGGCCTAGAGTTCAGACTGATGACCTTGTTAAGCATGCAAATGCCAGTGTGAATTGGCACTCACAATTAGTGCTCTCTCCATAAACTTTCCAGATATTTCACAGACAACATTGATCCAAATTGTTACTGAAACCTTAGGCTATCAAAAACCTTATGCAAGCTGGATATTGAAAATGCTGACAGACATTCATAAAAACCACCAAATGTCACCTGCACATGCATTTTTGGACCACTGCAAAAGAAATGATAATGAATCTTTTTCCCCCCATACTGAGACTGATGACAAAATGTGGATTTCTTATGCCAATGTAGAGTCCAAACAACAATCCATGCAATAGCATCATTCAAATTCATCAAAGGCAAAGAAGTTCAAGCAAAGTCAATTTGCCCAAAAGATTATGGTAACTGCTTTCTGAGACCAAAACAGTATGTTTTTGGTTGATTTCACAAAAGCAGGAACAACAAACACAGCAAAGGTATATTGTGAAACACTTTCTAAGCCAAAACATCCTATTTGCAACTGGTGTCATGAAATGCCAGCATCGGGAATTGTTCTGCACGACAATACACATCTGCATCCATCATTCCAATGTTTTGGCAATTCAGATGAAAATTGTTTGATCGCTTCCTTACAGTCCAAACCTTGCATCCGGTAACCATTGCTTTAAGAAGTGGCTTGCATCTCAATAATTCAAAGAAACCGAGGAGTTGCAAACAGCAGTGCTGGACTAGTTGAACTTGCAGTCGACAGAATTTTATGCAGGAAGCATAAAGAAACTTGTTTCATCATATCAGAAGTGCTTGAAAAAAATGGTGACTATGTAGAAAAATGAAGAGGTTACACGAGTGTTTGTAACCAATGATAAATTTTTGACAAAGTTTTTTTTTTCTTTTGTATAACCATTCAATCCTTTTTATTGGAATGCACCTCATATTAGAAATAATTATTTTCCAAAAATTATTAAAACTGAACGAATTAAAATATTCAAACTTCACACATTGCCCATCATTTTGTCATTTTTTTAAAAATTATTTACAAATTAAAAATTGCCACCTCTCCATTCATAATTCATTAAAATACAAGACGAAATTAGCTACGATTTTATTCTATAATTTTATAGCAATCTTTATTAATTTATTTACATATAGATTATATTTTTCTTTTAAAAAAAAATCTATTATTCTCTTTAATCATTAAATAATTGTAAAAAAAAAAAAATCACTTAATAATTAAACAGGTATTATTAGCTTTATTTTTACTAAACTTAATTCATTAATAATAGTAATTTATCAAGACATCTAAACAGTATCAGGAAATTCCAATCTCTGGTAAAACTTCCTAAAGTATAATATTTTTATAAACTTTAATTTTTTTTTTTTTTTTTGACTCTCCCATTTTATATGCATTAGGAAGTTTTTCTCCCATACCCATTGCATGTTCAGCCAGGTCCACAACAAGAACAGCACAGTGCTGATCAGCAAGGTCCGACATATCCAGAAGCAGTTACCCAGAGCAGCTGATTTTTAATGGTATATATTTCATATTAAACATATTTTTCTTTGAAATAATCATATTAGTTTCAAGTTAACCAAGTACTGATTTTCACTTCAATAAATGTATTAAAGATATCAATTTTAAATCCATTTTAAAAGTTGTTTTTAACTAATTTAATGAGTTTTGTAATATTTTCCATTAACTTTCAATATTTAAATGCTAAAAGAAGTACAATTTCATTACTGACTTTTCAGAAATTAAAAAAGTTATCAAAGAACAATAATACAACATAAATAAATTCATTAGATAGCACTAAAGGAGGTAAATGTCTGTAGTAATAAAAAATAAAGTGATAGAAGAAAAACTAATTCATACATTTTCCATCAATAAATTTTAATGACAAACATTTGCAAAGTTAAATAACTTCAGAAATGAAGTCATTTATTAGATTTTATAGTTTTTTTTTTATAACAAATGCTTAATATCTTTTATATTAATGATTGTTATTATCAAAACATATATAAGAACTTATTCCAGAAATATATTCATCCAAAACTTAAAGACAAATGCAAGTGATAGCTAGAAAAAGTCACCGAGCCAGTCAGTGACAAGTCTGTCACACCATAAGCACTGAATCTCTTCTGCTTGGGTATTGATAAGTATTTTCCATCCATTCTCCACCTATGTCCAACTAATATATGTATCTTTCTCATCACACTTTTATTGCTCTATTCTGCAAAATCCTATGAATTGTTGCCTACTACCCTGTGTTAGATGTCAAGGAATACAGTTCTTGCCATATTTGTCTGCATTTGTCTACATTTCTCTCTATTCATGTACAAATGACATATGTCCTCAAGTTTTGGATGTGTGTGTACATTATGTTAAAATTCGTAATGAGTTTATATATTGTGAAAGATTATAAAAATATTTTACTAATGAATAAGAAAATTTCTCTACCTATTCTACATATGTAATAGCTAAAATAATCATAGTTGAAATAAATAATTCTTATATTTACAATTATTTCTAATTTAAAATGAATTCTAATATACTTTAAGAGAAGTTCAGTTGCTGAATAATTGCATTCTTCATAAAATAAAGAAATATGTAAATAAATATAGAATAAATGAAATTCAGAAATATTCTTGTAAATTAAATAAATTTAAATTTTATTATTAAAATACATTTCTTTGAATATCTTCATAATTTATTGTAATATCTTTTGCCTATCAGTTATTATTAGACATTTAATTATCAAAACTTCATTCCTAATTATTATTTCAATACATTAGCTTTAGAATAATTTAATCTTATCATCAAAACCCCTGCTCAGCAATTTAAAAATAGAGAAGTTAATACACAATTTCAATAAGATATAATATTGGTTAATATATATTTTAATATATAATTTATAAATTAAATAATTATACATGTATTTTAAAATTGGAAATTTAAGATTAAATACATGTATAATTACTTAATAATTAATATCTTATGGCAAGATTAATAATTCATTTATAATAAAACAAAAGTATGATCTGAAGAAGATTAATTTTAAAAATCAAAATACATTTTAGAAATTTAATACAGACTCTTCTAACTATAAAATGTCTATCCTTTATCATCACATATTTTTGAACATAATAAAATGATAATATTCTTGTAACCTATTACTACTACTTAATTCTTAATTAGAAAACTTAATTCTGTTATAAGTCATTATCAATTAAATTTGTAGTCTTGTTTTAACTCTCAGTATTCATATTAAAATTTTAGGATGTATTCATTTGAAACACTTGAAACATTTATTATTTATTAAAAAAATAAGCTTACCGTGGTGGAGCTCTTCCTGTCAGACAGAGCTTAGGTATTGGAAGTGTCTCAGTTACAACAGGACTATAAGTTCTTAAAGTAAACATGCCCCTAGAAATAACACTGAACATTTTTTATTCATTCACTAATGTCTAAAACAAAATAAGAGACATATTAAATATATATAAACTATTTAGTACAATGTAAAACATTCTTTCATATGAAATTAAGTTCTTACTTTTTATATCTTTGACTATAATATAAAACTCATTTATAATAAAGTATATTTTCAAAATGCTGACTAGTGGAGAAAAATTAAACTTCTTTACAAAACTTATCCATAAATAACAAAGCATTTAATACATCAATGTCAAGATAAATTAAAATAAAAAAAAATAAATGTTGTATCTTTCTTGTTAGTGACTTCTCTGTAGAATAAAAATTTTAATAAATACCGCAAATATTATAAAAAACAAAGATTTAAGTTTCTATAAATAATCCTATTTCATTCATAGAACTTTTAAATAACTATTAGAATTTCTAAATAAAGTAACTTTCAAAAAACATATCTCTAACATCTGTGAATGTTTAATTAGTAAACAAAAAAATTAAATTACATTGTTACATATGTGAGAATCCAGGGCTTGTTTTATATAAAATAATATTTGTATTAATAGTCAACAGGAAAGTTCATAAGATCTTATCTTTGACTTTAGTTCCATTTAAAATGATGCATCTTCCTTTGGGTTTGACTCATTCAGTGACGTTTGCAGAAAATCTCTGATTGATAAAAAGTAAGCTCCTCAACCGATTTTACCCAATTTGGTCAGAAGTCAAGGGGCAGTGATGAGATCACTGACAGATGATAAACAGGGTTGCTCAAGGAAGAAGCAATTCCCCTCTTCCCGAGTTTGCTTTTTTTTCATGTGTGTGTGAGCATGCAGCCTTTCCCTTTGAATACATGAGATAACTGCATTCTGTTTCAAGGAAATGAGAACATTCACCATTGAACTGTGTCATACAAGGACTAAGTGTGACTGCAGGGTCGGCACCTCTTTAGCACCGTCAGGATGACACCACTGTATCTTGTGGACAGACACAGAAACCAGATTGGCCGTTAATTTTCTTTACGCAAACAATCATGCGTGCGGACCTTTGGTTCTGGGATGGAGGCGGAAGGAGAGACTCAGAGGAATTACACTCTACAGATTTTCTGTATATACATGATACCCGTTTATTATTCTACTTTAGCTATATACAATTCATGTTGGATTACAATTAACGTAGCTATTATTTTCCCAATAACAAGTACTAATGAAAGAGAGTTTACATTTACTTCACGCAAGGATAAATACCTTGATATAAGTTGTGAGGATTGGAAATTTAGTCCTCGAATCTCAAGAGGGGGCACAGTTCTTTTGAACGATGAGATTTCTTAGGCAATGGTCTTCCAACATGGCGGTGATTAGAACAGTCACTGGCAGCGGCTAATCCACACACGTAATCCTACAGTACACTCAACTCTGGAGACTCTCTTTGATGCATCGATCCCTCCTTTTTATAAAGGGGCCATCATTGGATTTTTCCACTTCCTTATTAGGATTATTTTTCACCACTGACCAATAGTGTTTTCTTTCTTCTTTTCGTAGATTCCGGGTGACACATTCGATGTATCGTCTTCAACCAGGAAATAAGTCCATGGGAAAACAATTTTATTATTCTTTAAAATGTCAGTTTGTTGTTTCTCTCTCTAAACTTTAAAAAATATTTTTTTTTTCAACAAAAAATTTAAACAAACCATTTCACTAAGTTTGGCTCTCACACTAAGTGATTATAACAAGGATATTCTATTTGAAAGCTTAAAAAGTTAAAATCCTTATACAATATGGGAATCTTGAAGTCAGGAAGTATTTGACTCCATGTGACTGCATTATAAACTCTCTCTCTCTGGATATAGATGCAATGTGCAATAAGTATTATATTAATAAATACATTAAAAATTGATGATGAGTGTGTTAGGTGTTAGCTACTAAACTGAAACAAATCTTTTGTTGTTTAATGTCAAATTAGTAATGCAAGCAAATCACTTCTCGGTTGTTTGTCTCTCAACTTCCTCCTCCATTCTCTTATCCCATGTAACTGTATGAGGCCACTCATGCTCACTCATAAAATCTTCATAAGGTTCCCAGTGAGCTGAAATTCACAGGTGGTGTCAGAACATTCTGACCAGGGTCCACAATTTACATGTCACACATACTTTCAATATAAAAGTTAACATTATCTCAAAGATACACTGCCTAAGAACTAATACAACAGTACATACATATATCCATTCATAAAGCAAACATCAAATAAATGCAACAGCTTAATGCACTATATTTTAAATATTTATCACTGCCTTAAAATAAGAGAGGAGAAAAGGAAAATACTTTGTTATATTGTCATTCAACATAAAATCAGAGTTCCTTAAATAATTTCACAATGATCAATGTTTGCAATTTGAAGACATACAGTATATAATGTCAAAATCTCCAAGTATTGGTATCATTGAAAATCTATCAATAAAATTAATTAATACTTAATATTATAAAAGAGAAGTAAGTAATTATAACTGTAAAAATGTCATACAGTAGAACCCCTCTAATCCGTCACCTTTGGGACTGGGGGTATGGTCGGAACGCAAAAAAGGTCGGATTATCAGAAAAAAGTAAAATAAACAATCTTCCCTTTGTCCAGTCTTTGTAGCACTGCTAATTTTTCATTTAATGAAAGAGTAACGTGTTTACGTTTCACTCCTGGCATGTTGAAAACACACACAATGTAAAACATATACTGTAACGAACACAGAAGAATGCCACGGACGGTGAGTCACTGACGAGTCGGGACAAGTTTCTCGACTCCGACCACGGTCGGATTAACCGGAGTGACGGACTAGCCGAGGGTGGACTAGAGGGGTTTTACTGTACATAAATTTTGTAAATTTAATTTTCTAAACTTTTATAATATATTACCCACCTTCCAATAGGAAGTGCCATAGTTCTGATACAAAGAGTGTATAGATGTCTTTCTTGTTCTTCTATAAAGTCATGGTCACTGCAATAAAATATAAAAATCTATTAAATTCTTTCAAAATACTACTGTTGCTATTACTTAACTTTTAATTTAATTTATCTATAAATTAGATATACATTAGAATCCACTTATTGTAATTGATGTGGACTTGCCTATACTGGTAGCAAAAATCAACTTTTAACATTTCAGTGGGATAAGTAAATAAATCAATAAAAATTCTAGTTTTATTGACTGATATTAAAAAACACTATAAGCTAAAACAATTAAAAAATGTATAACTTGCAGATTTATTAAACGTAGTTATTATTAATTAATTAATTATATATCCTGTGTTCTTTGCTCCTTTCTGTAGCACTGTCCTTAACAAAATTAACTTTGGATAAAATAAAATTGAGAAATGCTAAAAAATTAAACTATTAATGTGCTAGGGCAAATAAAAATTAAAACAATGATAAATATTTAAAACACTGAATAAAACCAATAAAAATTGTACTTTATTAGCCACAAGTCAAGGCTGACTGTGTAAAAACAAACATACTTTAAAATTGCTAGCATGTCCAAAGTTATTGATAACTATCAATTTAATGAAACAGATTACAAGAAGTTTTATGAATGATTAATCTGGACCACAAATCCTGCTTGTTGTGTAATGTGAAAATTACATTACTCAGACCTCCACCCAATATTTGCTTCCAGAGCAATTAATTTTAAACATAATCATACAGGTCACTAAGTACACTAGCTGGAGATGATTATATGATCTTAGCCCACCATGGCAATTGGCCAACTTATTATTACATACAAACTTTTATCCCAGCATGGAATATATAATTACATATAAACCAAGCCCAACATATAAACAAACACCACCAGACTATAATACGGCTAATTAATTATAAGGATATTACATAATACAAACTACGAGTAAATAGTTAAGCCATCATCTTGTATTAAATTTAATTACTAAAAATTAGTTAATTTAGAATATTCTAGAAAAAAAATCAATCTAGAATGGGTTCAGGTACTGCTTTTTCTTCCATAATATTCTAAATTAACTAATTTCTAAATATTAAATTTAATACAAGAAGATAGTGGCTTAACCTGTAGTCCATATCCCATAAAATATTTATAATTAATTAGCCATATTGTAGCCTAATTAAAATCTAGCAGTATCATTTGTTTATTATTTTTCAATATGCCATCAAAACAAATGAGCAATTGTAACAACACTTTAAAAAATAAATTTTATTAATATAATATCATCATACCTCACTTCTGGTCTCTGCTGTAAAACAATTTTAACTGGTTTTGAAGATTGCAACATTCTATACACTTCATATATTCTTTGATCTTGACTAAATCTTAACTGTAAAACTTCATGATCTAAATGGTCTAAGCCATCTTCGTCTTCTTTCGCAATTACATGTTTCACACTATCAAAACTTTTTGACTGGTAAAGAGGCAAAATGGTTCCAGCATGAGCGGCAGCTAAGTCTTGTCTACCTATAAAATTTAAGCTTTTCAAGTAATTTATTTATTTACAGGAATTACTGATATTTTTTACAACTTGTTAAAGAAACTGAATATAAACAATAAATAAATTGTTTATATTCAATTTCAAATATGTGAATAAAAACTTATTTTTCAAAATTATAAATTTGCATCGTTAAACTTAAATAACTGTTCTGTAGGCTGAGTGGCAGCCCAGTATTTACACTTAGTACATCATAATTTACAAAACATAAAATTAAAATGTCCTTCTACAGAAAAATATTTTAAATTTATTAAAATTAAATTTTGACAATACCAATTAATGTATATGCATCAGCAGGCCAATCGGATGAAGGTTTCTTCCGACAATGTAATATGACTTCTCTAATTGGAAGTGCAACTCCAAGAGGAAGTTTGTTTAGATCTTCATTATTAATACCTATAAAACAATAAATTTTGTAAAATTTAAGTACTTCTTACATCTAAATATTGAATATAGTTAATAATGTGTTAGTGACTGTTATTCAGCTTCTTATTCCAACCAATGATAATACTTTAGAAAGTTACTAAGTAGTTTTAACTAAAAACAATGCAACTTTCAAATATGCAAGATAAAAATTTAAAGTTACAATAAAATTGATACTTTTCAACTTCTAAAATTTTTACTATCTTAAATATAAGCATTATATGCATTATGGTGGGTGATCCAAAGTTACATTCATATAATATAGTTTTTAACACAAGAAAGCTAGTACATCCTATCATTATTTCTCTGGATGCTGATGTAGTATGGTTGCATCTAGCTTTATACAAGTTTATACTTATAATAAATTGTATATACAGTTATCAATATATTTGGAAAGAATATAATTAATTCATTATCTGTTTTTAATTACAACGAATCAAATTTTGTTAAATGTAATTATCATCATTAAATAAATTACCACATTGTATAATTAATTACATAATTATATGCAGTAGAACTCCAATTGCCTGAGGTAACATGGACCAATGCTACCTTGTATAACTGAAAACTAGTTGACCATAGCCATTTCAGATGAAAAATTACAAAATTTTATAATGGTATCACTTTTAAGCCTCTTTTAAGCCTACTGAATTTAATCATACATAACAATTTTTAAATCATTTATTATGTAGCTAATACATTCTATAATGTATTATGTATTTTAGTAATGTATTATGTATTTTATAATGTATAATGTATTCGTAATTATATTATGTAGCTAAAATTTTATAATGGTATCACTTTTAAGCCTACTAAATTTAATCACACATAACAATTTTTAAATCATTTATTATGTAGCTAATACATACAATAGTTTTAAGAATAAAAATGCATATTATTGTAGTTATGTTTTAATATGAATGGTTTGTCTCACATTGAAGTTAAATAATGAAAGATAACAAACAAATCATTTTAATGATTTAAAATTGTTATGTATGATTAAATTCACTAAAGTATAAAAAGAGGCTTAAAAGTAATACCACAATTCTTTTGGTATTTTTTAATCTAAAATGGCTATGGTCATTTTAGTTCTCAGTTATCCAACATGGTATTGGTCCACATTACACCTTAAATAATTGGGGTTCTACTCTATTGTGTCACTGATTAACCATTTAATAACTTTTGAAAAAATGTGTCAAATTTAAAGAGAATAGTATTTCATACCTAAATGAGTAAGAAATAAGATAAGATTTTCTTCTGGATTACACATCACTGACAATTCTTGGAAAAATGTTAATTCAACTTCATCTACAAATCTTCTCCCTAATAAATTTATTATTATTGTAAATAAATATTTTATCAACAAAACAAGCTATATCAAGTAATTAATTTTTTCAACTCACCAGGTACTACTAAAGATTGCAGATAATCATTTATTGTTCTTTTATTAGTAACATTCATAAGAAGCAAGCTATACATCTAATCAAATTAAATAATTTAGAATTAGTAATTTTTTTTCTGTAACCTTTTTAATTTAGCTGAAATATATGTTAGTTAGTTAGTTTTTATTGGCACAAGAGCCATACAGGCCATACTGCGCCATGACACATGATACAATTTCATATATACAATAAATAGGAAAACACATATATAAACATAAAAACAAAAACAAATAAACAAAACATAACAGTTTAACCATTAAACAGCAAATAGTAATATAAATAAATAAATAAACAACAACGAAAAATGTATACAATAATTTAATTAGGTAACACAAAGTAAATAAAACTGTACAATAAATAAATAATCAAATTTCTCTATACATATTAATGACTTTCAGAAAGTCCACTATATTGTCCAGATTTGGACTCTGGCCCAAAATCTCTCTAAAGCTTGCATTTCCAAAATGCTGTCTATGACTCTGGTCAAAAGCAACACAGTTGCAAAATATGTGTTTAACACTTACANTCAAATTTCTCTATACATATTAATGACTTTCAGAAAGTCCACTATATTGTCCAGATTTGGACTCTGGCCCAAAATCTCTCTAAAGCTTGCATTTCCAAAATGCTGTCTATGACTCTGGTCAAAAGCAACACAGTTGCAAAATGTGTGTTTAACACTTACAGTACACTTGCAGTGCTGACATATTGGTTCGTCATCTCCCTTCAAAAGGTATTGATGAGTCAGTCGAGTGTGTCCAATTCTCAAACGAGTAAGGACGACCTCAGATCTCCTGTCATAAAATTTCTTGTATGTCCAATTTTCTATCAAAGGTTTGATCTCGTGTAGTTTATTGTGGATTTGTGCATTCCACATATTTTGCCATCTCTCTGCTAGTCGTTTTTTAACAACTAGCTTCAAATCACTTCCTTTGATAGGCATTTCATGCAGTAAAAGTCTAGCTGACTTTGCTGCTGCATCAGCTTCTTCATTTCCTCTTATTCCTACATGACCTGGGACCCAACAAAATTTTATAAAGAAATTCTTTGCAGAAAGATGACAAATTAGTTTCTGAATTTTAATAACTATGGAGTGAGAACTAGGTTCATATGAGATCAAAGCCTGAAGAGCACTAACTGAGTCAGTGTAAATAACACAGCAACGATGACCTTTCCTATTTATATACTTTAAAGCTAAATAAATAGCATGCAACTCTGCAGAAAAGATGGAAGAATTCAATGCAATTTGTTCTGCCACAATTTCATCCTGGCAGACAAAGGCTGAGCCAACGTAATCATCAGATTTAGATCCATCTGTATAAATAGGAATTAAATTCCTGTCATGGTGTTGAATTTCTGCAAAGTGCTGCCTGTAGACATAATCTGGGGTGGATTCCTTTGGAAATTGCTTTAAGCTAAGGTCAACATTTATCACAGGAGTTGACCAAGGAGATATATTACAGACCTCTAGCTGTGAAATGTTGCCTGTGTTCAGATCAATCGTGCTGCTCACATTCTCCATTCTTATGGCGAATGAAGGGACACTGAGCTTCAAATAACCTTTTCAGCTGAGTATCTAATACTGTACAATCAACTGAATGTTTAGAGTAAGATTTCTGTTTTATATAGTAAAATAGAGACAACTGTTCTCTCCTGAGAGATAGTGGAGGCTCATAGCTTCCACATACAAACTTTGTACAGGGGAAGTTTGAAAAGCACCAGTGCACAAACGTAGTGCTTGATGGTGGATTGGATCCAGCATCCGAAGAGTAGATTCTCGCGCAGAGCCATAAACAATGCAACCGTAATCCAGCTTAGAGCAGACAAGGGCCCTATAAATCCAAGCCAAAACTCAATTATTACTCTCCAAGCCAAAACTCAATTATTACTTTCACTGAGTTTACAGTATATTTTACTTGAATTTTCAGAATATCAGCTCAAAATTAAGATAGCACATTTACTAATACTTAAATATTTTTCAAACAAAAACATCCTAAATTAATTATTCTGTTATGTTGAAATAATAAAATATACAAAACTACAATTCATGTTAAGGAATCCAAAAAGGAGCCTTTGAATTTATAGAATCTGTTTTTATGTATATTTCTCACTTCTTCCTAAAGGTAGATGCACACAAACCAAAAAATTAAGGTAATATTGAACATCAATTGATACTAGCAATCGCCTCTTTTAATTTCGACAATTAGAATGTGTGATTAAATTTATTGTTGATGTTCAATATTCCCTTAATTTTGTCATCATATACATCTGTCTTAAAATATATATAAAATAAAAGCAAAATATGCCTTACAGGACAGAATAATAGTTCAAGTTTCTGAATTTAGCAATAGTTTCATACTGTAATTTCAATTAAACTTACCAACTGACTCCATAGACAAACACTGACATTAAAGCTTAAACTCAAAGAGACAGGAATCAAGAATTATCTTAGAATTAATAAAAATTCATTTTTGAACATCTTCATTGAATTTTCAAGTCAATCTGAAGATGGATCCGAGTTTTGAAAATATTTATCAATTCTAAAATATTTATGGATTCTTTTATTTTTATAAATATAAGCCTATTGTAAAATGTACATTAATGTGTAATTCTATTCCAAATTTTTGAAATAAAAAGATGGAAAGTAAATGTTTATAAGAAAAATATTTGCTTAGTTATTTATTTTAAACACACTAAATACAAGCTCTATTTTAATTAATATCCTAAAAATTCATGTAAAATGTGCTGTAAAACTTATTTCAAATGTCATATAATCATTGGTAAGGAAAACTGATGCTTCAGTTTATCGAGGTCATCCCGTGTATATATTATATAAGAAAACATAGTAAAGAATATAAAAATATGTAAATTAAAGGGTAAACTATAAGTAAAAAAATAAAAAAATAAAAATATTTACATTTTGAACTTTTACATGTATTTTACTTACATGTACTAAATTGATTTTACTAATTTCATAATTTAATTGTACTCAAATATAACTGTGTATAAAATTGAACTTGGCAATTTTGTTCTATGATCTAATATAAATGAACTTGTTAATCAATTGGAATTATATAATCTTGGGTTAATATAAGACAGTAGCAATGTGTTATTTCCTTCTACATAATCCTACCCAACTTTTTTTTTTAATTGGTAAACATTGCATTATTATTATTATTCATACAATTAATGACCTAGGTATAGTGTTTGATGAAAATTGTTATTTAAAAATCACATTAATTCTTTTTCTAAAAATTTGATGAGTAGAGGTATTCTTTGACATCATGTCATCTTATTTCTTCTGACTTCAGGGTCTTTTTTATACTAATTTCCAATATATTGTCAATTATTGTCTGCTGATACAGTCTATGGCTACTTCTCACTGTTTCACTACTTCATAAAATTTTATTTCAAGTGAATAAGATTTACCTAATTTTTAATAAACTGGCCAACTTATTATTATGGATTCTGCTGAGGCTGCTAGGGCTATACTAAGCTTTCCCAAATTTAATCATTATATCATTTATTTTCATACAATTTTATTTTTTAAATATTTTAATTGTCTTTAATGTGGAATTATTTCTCTTAGATACCTCAATTACTAGGAATACTTCTTGTTATTCTCTCCCTTTCTTTACCCTTAATTTTTCCAGATGATCTTTCCATTTTTGCACTAAGGTTATATCCAATTTGGAGATCTTTTATTTTGGTTGGTTGGTTGGGATTTTTTGGCGCAAGGGCCACAAAGGCCAAGCTGCACCATTCTTTTATTTTGAAATTTTCTATGTTTTAAAAAAAATGCATAAAAAAGATTCTACATAATAAACAGTAATCTGTTCAATAATTCATTATATATATATTTTTTTGTTTATATTATGTTTTTATGCACTAAAGTTCTTTTTTTATTATAGGGTGGGTTGTTCTTTTCATTAATTTCTCTTTGGAGAGCAGTCATCTCTTGTTTTATATGGCATTACATATAAATCCTAGGTTTTTCAAACCAGATATGATACAGACTTATTAAACCTGGAACAGAGACAAATCACCTGTGCAAATAAATTATATTCCAACTGAAAAGGGACAGAAAAAATTCAAAATGCATATTAGAGAATAAAAAAAATTAAAATTGTTCTCTGTCTCAGTTTTAATAAGTCTATATGATACCTAGTTTGGAAAATCTAGAATTTACTACAGTTAATAAAAAATAAACAAGAAGCAATTTAAAATAAACATTGCCATGTATTTATAACAACAAACAATAAATATAAAGTATTAAAAATTTTTAAATAAATAAATAATACAAACAAATCATATTCAAGTTGTTATTATACAAACTTATTACCAATATGACATCCCTAATCGTTTTGGTAACATTAGAAATATATAAGAATGGTAGAAATTCTTTATTCAATAGCAGTGATTGAAGCCATTCGAAAATATTAGGTGGTGAACTAGTAAAATATGGTGGAGCATGGAGTTGATTCACTTCATCTGAAATAAAATAAGAATTCTTATTCTGAAAAATTAAATGAATTATTAAAAATATACTACTAATTATTTAAATAACAACCCTTATAATCATAACTACGAAAACAAAACATCAAATATCTTATTTTAATAAATTCATTTCCTCAAAATTTCTTAAGAACATTTTTCATAAATTTTATCTATTTCTCATAAGTCTTGAAATAGCATATGATTTCAGATGAAATACAGTGAAACTTCTCTATAATGAACACTCATAAGACAAAAAAAAACTATACATTATACAGAGGTTTTGTGAAAATTACCATTAAATGTAGCCTGCACTGTTTCTATTTATGAACACACATTAAACACATGCAAAAAAATTACAGTACGATGATGAATTATCATAAAAGTATTAGTGTTTTTTTTAAATTCAAATTCATTTATGTCAGTTTTTTACAATTGATTATAGCAATCTGCTTCTAACTACACATCATTAAATCTTGTGCTAGGTTTGAACCTTCTGCAGCTTTTCTATTGATATAAAACTGAGTTTGTTTATGTAATCTGTATGACCATTGGTAGCTCCGTAGAAGGTGTCATTTTGGCATAAAGCCATTGTATCATCATTTTTATTCTTCCTTTGTTGAATCTCAGAAAATGACTAATGGATTGTTTTTGTATATTGACTTGCACACTCAGTCTTGAATCCAAAATTCTGTCAACATAATGATTTGCAGTGATGGAAAATACTTTGTTTCCATATCATTTGCAACAGTTGCCACAAAATTGTAAGTATTCTCATTTGGCTTTGAAGAAACAACTTTGAATTGGTGAATCTGTCTCCAAGCATTTGAAATCCACTAAGTACTTTGTCAGCATTTCAAGCAATGCTCCTTACTCCATATTTGCAATTATATGCTTCATAACCATTTATCTGTAATTGACTCTGAAATTCTGAAATATACTTTGATCTAAAAGGTTGAGAAAGAAATAGAGAGAGGTAACATCTGAAAGTAGAATTATGAGCTTCAAACATCAAACAACTGAATTCTTTATCAGACTGTTAAAGCTAAACAGTTATGAAATAATTTGGTAGAATCAAATTATTTGAGAGTTGGACGTCATGCCAATCTTTTAGTTGAACAAGAAAAGAAATTATCACAAAAGGTATTAATTACATATAAATACCACTTTATTCACTTGTGCTTTTGATGTATTAAAAGGCGTCGTCCTCAGGCAGAAGCATACTCGAATAAATATTTTGAACAAACTTNAAGATGTTTTTACTTGGGCTTTATAAATTTCAAGTTTTTCAAGATGTTTGATGGAGTGCTTATTAGGCATGGGTCTAATAATGGAAGCCTGGTCCTGTTAAAGCTAAACAGTTATGAAATAATTTGGTAGAATCAAATTATTTGAGGGTTGGACGTCATGCCAATCTTTTAGTTGAACAAGAAAAGAAATTATCACAAAAGGTATTAATTACATATAAATACCACTTTATTCACTTGTGCTTTTGATGTATTAAAAGGCGTCGTCCTCAGGCAGAAGCATACTCGAATAAATATTTTGAACAAACTTTTCAAATTAAAACTAACAGCTTTAGTCCTTTAGAACAAAATTATAATTAGAATAAACAAATGTAAAGAATTTAATGTGTTTCTTAAACACACAAGAATAATGACACAGTTTCAGATTAGCAAAACAAGTAAAGAATTTAAATTAAAGTGAGCGTGGTCGCTACACACATGCACCATAATTACAGTGACCATATTTTTTGGGGGAAAATAAAGGACATATCGATGAAAATCAAATAATACCTTATAAAATTCATAAGTTTATAACATTTATTACGAACATTAAAATTTTAAACAATCTGAATTATTTATTACACATACACACATTGTAAAAATTTAAATAACATTAATTTTGATACTTTTCAGTAGAATTAATTTTTTATAGCGCCGTTTCACGCTTAAAGTCATAAAATTCCATACAGTTCATTTGAAAGTTGTATTTGACAGAAATACATGCTTCTAATGTGCTTACTTTTAAATGGATTTTTTTCATTTGTCCGCATATTATTCAGCAATGAAAATATTCATTCAACGGGGGCATTAGATCCAGGAAAACAAAAAAAATTCTACGATTTTACAAACGTTTTTGAAAACAATTTCTTCTGCTGTAAAATGTTCAAAAATCTCAATCCACCTTTGATGGCAGGGCTGGTTATTCTGTCGCCATTCGTCGATCTTTTCGTTTGTGACATATTTTTTTACACATGAAACTTCATCAAATAATTCACCATCGAATATATTTACGGACCAATGATTCAAAATTAAGATATAGCTTTCCTCTACTTTCGCCCACAAAGGAACTTCGCATAATGTGACCCATTCAAACATCTCTATTTCAATAAAAAACATGTTCCAATTATTTAGATAATCTATGCACGTTTGATAAAATGTGTACACAGCATCATTGGATTTTTTGGCTTGTATATTTTCTGATTTTTCTAATGCTAAAACCACTTTTCTAATAACAATAGGAAGAAACCTTTCATTTTTTTCTTTCAAATAACTTCAGCTTTAATTAACAAGTGTATCATGCACCAACTAGAGAGTTAAAAAACTATCACAAAAATTCCCATAAGAGTGTCCACCCCTTAGTACTGTCAGTGGGCCGTTTGGTTGGCAACACACTGCACTACTGCGCTCTATGTAACAATGCAACACTGGTCGTGATGGCGTATACAAAACTAACTTGTTCAATATATTATTAAAAAAAAATTTTTTAAACTTTGTGTCAACTTTACAAACTAAAGGACAAAATGCCTATTTTAGAAAATAAATAAAGTTAAAGGACAGAGCAGTGAAATAAAGGACTGTCCTCTTAAATAAAGGACGTATGGTCACTGTAACCATAATGTATGGATTAGGCCTCAAAGAAGATCTTCTGTCCAATGTAGTATGCCCCTGGCTCTTTTTTGAGGTCAAAACACATAAAGAGGCCTCTGGTTAACAAAAGGACCCACCCTACCTACTACCTTGAAAAGGCGTATGTCAAGCTCCTAAGTGGGTTCCTTCCCCCCTTGTTACATCTTCCTCCATCGCGGCATCTTTAGCTGCTGGACTAGGTAAATTGTCCCCTAATAGATACAGTTTCTACAAAATGGATGTTGCCACTCTCTATCCCTCTGTACGTCAATTTGAGGCAGTTATGCTTACTAATACTCTATTCATCAACGAGTGCTTTTCTGTGCAGCAAGCCTTAGAGATCTGCAAGGCTTTACTTTTTGTTACTGAACATAATTACAGTAATAACTTATACTGGAATTAGAAAGAATTATATAAAATACCACCTTTTTAAATACTCCAGCAAATAATTTAATATTGTAAAAACATTTTTGTCAGTTAAACAATAAAGTAAAAAGAACATTAAAGAAATAGAACATAAATTAAAATTACAAAAAATAATAAGTGTGCATGCGTATGTAATGTTGTGCGCTTAGGGGAACAAATACAAAATAAAGATAGGGATATAAGAATATAAATAGCTCAACAGTTTTGCATTAAAAATTAATGTCTCCTAAAAATTATAGTTTATAGTTTATCTTCATAAAACGATTTCCACGCTGTGGACAGAGAGTCAGCGTCCCTATGATTGATACAAGATGTTTTTACTTGGGCTTTATAAATTTCAAGTTTTTCAAGATGTTTGATAGAGTGCTTATTAGGCATGGGTCTAATAATGGAAGCCTGGTCCCATATAACCTCAACTTCCTGTTGGTTGGCATAAGATGCTAAAATGGTGCTATTGTTGTTTTTTTCTAATAGAGTAGTTATGTTCTTTGATTCTTTGTTCCAAGCTTCTCAAAGTAGCACCTACATAAACACTATCTGAATCAAAACGACAGTCTTTGATTGGTATGGAGTAAATGCTGGAGGTAGTGATCTGGTTGTCATTCTTTTTATCATTTCTTAGTAACTTTTATACTGTGGGATTACAGCTATATGTAATCATAAATTATTGATGTTCACAATATCATTCATCATTTTTCTTAAGAAGGGATGATAGTTGATTACTGTCATGCATTTATTGTTAATTAAGAGAGACTGGTTAGTTTTATTTTGAAAAGTTGCGATGAGTTTTTTTTAATAAGATTCTTTTGGTAACCATTCTGCTGTGCTATTTGGATAATGTACTTCAATTCCTTGTACGTATCAAGTATATTTGTGCAATGAATAAAGGCTCATTTAATCCATGCTCAGAAAGCAGCATATTTAAAGTGTCTAGGATCCATTGAATTATTTGGTATGATGATGTTATTCAGGCCCGGTTTCCTGTAGATGTTAGTCCATATTTCACCTCTTTTGCATACGATATCAATGTCAAGGAAACAGACATTAGTAAAGCTTTCTTGGTCCAGTCGCAACTTTAAACCATAATTATTATTATTTTTTAATAATGTTCTTTTTCTTTATTGTTTAACTGACGAATATCATTAAAGACAATCGAAAACGTTTTTACAATATTAAATTATTTGCTGGAGTACTTAAAAAGGTGGTAATTTGTATGAACATAATTACTTTCAGTTCAATGTGAATGTATACCTACAAAAACAAGGGGTCCCAATGGACTCACCACTGTCTGCTATACTACCGGAATTAGTCATGAGGAATGTTGAGAGAAAGGTTTTTAGTTTCCCCCTCATGATAGCATACCCACTAATATATCTGAGATATGTAGATCACATTCTCTTAGTGTAGCAAGACACTGAGGAGGATTTTCTTGTCCTGAAATACTTTCTTGTGAAGGTTTACCCTTTTATCTACTTTACCTGGGAAAAAGAAAATGGGGGAGAAATAGCATTTTTAGACTTAAACATCTCCAGGCTCCAGGGAGGTATAATATTCTCAATGTTCCATAAATTTAATAACATACCACCATTAATCCCTGCAACAGCATACCAGCCACAACAGTACATTAATGTGGCTATAGCTCCTTTAATTATAAGGGCCTTTCTATTGCCCTTCACACAAACTGCTACCAACATTGAGCTTGCTGCCATTCACTCAGCAGTAACTGTGGTGGGTTATACCAATTCCAAATATGAACATGTCATGAACAAGATTAAAAAGTCTCTTTTTTCTGCCACCACTTTACACATCCCAAATGGACTGCACAATAGTCCATCCATCATTACCGTTCTGTGGCCGTATCACTGCCCAAATTTGCCGAATTTTTAGACAACATGCATTGCTTCTATCCATCACCCCGTGACCAGGGAAGTAGCATCCCTGTCATTGCATAGAAGTCTCAGGAGACTTCTATGCAATGACAGGGATGCTACTTCCATACTAGAATAGTCAAATGTATACTCTATACTCTATCCCATTAGAAAACACATCTGACATTTGCACCCATTATGTAAGAGCAACAACAAGAATGTTATCTTGCAGCATCTCTGAACACCAACATTCCATCATGGTAGGCAGGTGTGACACTGAGCTATCAAGGATGATGTTACAACACCAATGCATCCCACTGTGGGACCATGTGGTGATGCTCAGTTATTGTGATCAGAGGAGCCTGGTGTATGTTTGGGAGGCCCTCCTCACCATATTATTAAATCCATGCAACTCCCCCACACTTGAGTTACCTACAGTGTGGGTCTGCTTATATAAAAAACTAAAACATCATCTCTAGATCCGCTCTTGGCGCCACACATTACAGCACATGCATGTAGTAACCACATGCACTTTAACTTAAATTCTTTACATTTGTTTATTTTAATTATAATTTTGTTCTAAAGGACTAAAGCCATTAGTTTTAATTTGAAAAGTTTGTTTGAAATATTTATTCGAGTTTGTTTCTGCCTTAGGACAACACCTTATAATACATCGAAAGTGCTAGCGAATAAAGCAGGTACTTATGGTACTTATATGTAATTAACGCCTTTAGTGATAATTTCTTTTCTTGTTCAATTTGGTAGAAGATAGGTGATTAGGTAGACTAAGAGATAGCAACCTAACCATCTACCAAATTACTTAATAATTACAGTCAAGTCAGTATAAATCGACACACCAAGGAAAAGCGAAAATGTGTCAAGTTATCCGATATGATGACTAAAGCGAAGTTGAAAAAAACCACAATACTACAATTAGGAAAATACAGTAGTGCAATGTACTTCTCTGACCATCCATCACTGGCATTAAAGTTGATTTCTACTCCAAGTACCCCAGCAATTTCCATTGCCTTTTGTTTCAGTATCAATCCCGAAACAGGAAGATTCGATGAAAGAATCTGCTTTAGCCAACGTAAGAGAGCATCTTCAACATGTTTGTATGGCAACTTTCTCTGGCGTTTTCGAGACAGCCGCGACAAAAATCCAAGAAAAGTTTCTTAATTTCATCTTTTTTCTTCAGGAACTGTTTTTGGAAGGAATTTTTGCTTTGCAAATTTGGCTTGCAAAGTTTTCTTACATTCAAATTCAGAAACAAGTTCATATTTTTCCTTCAGCATAAGTGTTATTAGCTTTTGGACACTCATTTCTAACAGAAATGGGAAACAGGTGCTACAAATAACACAAGGTAAGAAAATGCAAATTTGGATTCTGCTGTGAAATTGATATAGATTGTATATTTTCTTTTTTAGTTATCTGTTATTATTTTATACATAAAAATACATAAAATGTTAAGGCATTTTTATTAATATGTATATATTAATAACTAATTTGACTCCCCTCCTGAAAAAAAAAATGAGTTCACACCGCACTGTGCGGTGTGAACTCATTTTTTTTCAGGAGGGGAGTCAACTTATCAGACGTCTAAACGAGTGTGGGATAACAAATATATGTCGATTTATCCAGTGGTGACAAGTTAAATGGTGTCAAATAAACCAGAGTTTTTTTTAACATTAATGCCTATGTAGTTGGCTGGGACCACAGAAAACTGACTACTTAACCGATGGTATCAAGTTGTACTTATGACAACTTATGCTGACTCGACTGTATTTAGTTTTCATAGCCCAATAAAAGAATCCAGCTGGTCATTTGACATTTGAAGTAATTGTCAGGATGGTTGTATTTATTATATGAAAATTTCTATTGCCAAATGTTACTTTACTCTGGATGTCTTTATGTGATACTTTTATTTCTTGAAAATATTGCATTTTTCTGTTTGGCCCAGCATTTCTCTATTCAGCTGTTCCAGCCACTCTGTCATAATTTCTGTTTTCATTAAAGTCTTTCTATTCAATTTCCATTCAATTTCATATTCTGTAAAGTCAACCTTGATGAAGTTCCTTAATTCTGCTTTATCCAGCTTTATTGCTTAATAACATTTGCATAATAAATGGAAATGGTATCGTATGCACCCTTTTCATGGTTTCAGTAAGCAACCCATGGTAGGATTCAGACAGTGCTTTATTTGCTTTTGGGTTGGCTTAAGAATAACTTATGTTTTAATAGCAAAGTTTGCCCAAGGGATAACAAAAGAACAGCTGTTTTATCTGCATTCAAGGTATTTTCTGTAAAATAGATCAGAAGTAAACAGAAAGAAGCTTAGCCTCCCACTGTGCTACTATATTATAGTCAATTCCAAATACCATATTTTCTGGTGTATAAGACAACTTTTTAACCCAGGAAAATCTTCTCGAAAGTTGAGAGTCGTCTTATACGCCGGATGTCGTCTTATAGGGCGGGTGCCGCAGTCGGCCAGGACGCCCAGGGTATGGATAGAGATAGAACAGCACTGTACCCAGAAAACATACATCTTTCACCCGTCCAGCTCGCCCTTGTATATATCCTATTACTGTACCTCTTTCTCTGCCACTCAGATCTCACTCCTGAGGACAGCAGTGAAGTGGTGCAGGTGCGCATGTGTGAGATCTGAGAGGTAGAGGAGGTACAGTAATAAGATACAAGGGCGGGCTGGGGTAGTCTTATACAGTGAATATATCCCAAACTCTATATTTTAACTGTAAAAGTCGGGGTCGTCTTAAACGCCCAGTCGTCTTATACACCAAAAAGTATGGTAAATTAAAATTCATACATGTTCATTGGGAATCATTTTCAACATTTTTCAGGAAGCTGTTCATACAAGCCAAATTGCAAAGCTTTGGCTTGTATGAACATCTCTGATGTAAGAACATTCTGATTTATAACTCTGCAGAACCATTCTATGACTGCTTTGTAAAGGAAAGCATTACTTCCACCTTGTAATGAAGAATTTGCTACCCATTATCCCAACAGTACAAAGAGCCAAGTAGCTCTTAATTCTGAATTTCTGCAGCTTGTTTCTCAGTCTTGAACATCTATGCTAACTTTCTCATTCTGTACATCTCATTTGTTATATTCAGTAATTTAACCTGCTCCTTTAAATTACTTACCTTCTGACAGCTGATAATTATCTGACAGAAGAGAACAAACATCTGGAAAATCTTGCCAATAATGATTCTGATACAATGGAAGCCTGAGATCTCTAAAAATAAAATTACTTTCTTTAATATTTCACTAAGAAATTAGTATAACCATAAAGTTAGTATAATAGTAGAATTTTATGTATCAACAAATGTAATATGTTATGCACTATATACATTAAATTACACATATTTTTCTTTTTTTATAAAGCATGAAAAATAATTTATTGTAACTTCTGTGTTAGTTTACTCCAAAGTAAACAATACCAACAATATTCTGATCAATCTTAATTGCAATGTCAATGACTGTTCATGAAATACAATGCATCCAAATTCTAGATTTTTAATTTTTCAATACTCTCAGCATCATTAGAAGAACTGTGCAATCTAATTTCAATACTGTTATGTAGTGTTAGAAATAAAATTTTTCATTCATCATCATTGTCATCATTTAAATTAGAAAGTTAAATAATAAACACTCATTTATTTTTTGTTAATTTTAGTATGTTTTACATGTTCCCCTTTATTCTCAACACTATTACAGAAAACATTATATTAAAATAAAATCATCATAAGAATAAAATTTCCATTCTACTAAAAACTATATTAAGAAATTCAAAACAAAATCTTTTACATTATACATAAATAACCATGAAACAAGAATGATGACATAAAATTAGGAGAAAAATACAAAACATTTAATCATAAAATTTGATTCTTACCTTGAAATCTGATACAAAAAACAAGCTAATGATGATAATTCATTCCATTGAAGTATATTTAGTTTACAATCCTGCAAATATTTTTTTCTTTTTTTTAAAACACCTCAAGTAATTAAAATAAAAACTTATTTTTCAACAAAATAAATTAAAAATTTTAATAGTTATATAGGGTGTTCAGAAAGTGTACACTTATATATTTATTAACAGATGTGTTTCAATACAGAATATAGGAGGTAAATATGAATGACAATTACAAACGATGTTGAAAGTAACCCCTGTTAGCATCAATACAGGTTTGGATCCAACGTGCACAAACGATCTCGATACACTGCAGATTTTGCTGCTCCCCATATATAAAAGTCTGGTGAATTTAGAACTGGTAAGTGTGGGGGACACACATCTTTTGAAATAATGCAAAAATATGATTAGAAAAGTATAATGATTTTCTGAACACCCTGTATATTTAATTATGAAAAATTTTTTTTTTTTAATCTTTATAAAATTTAATATTAAACACTTAAAAGTGCATTTGTGATGAATAACATTTACTAATCATTGCATAACAATTAATATAAAATATTTTTGCATATTTTGAATATTTACTTACTTCATATACAAGATGTAATGCTAAATGAATGTAAGATATATACGGTAATAAAGGAGAATGAATGTTAATGCTGTTGATTTCTTTTTCTGAAATGTATCTAGAACTTATTTGAAACTTTTCATCACAATTAGCAAAACCGACAGAATTCTTTTGATCCTCATTCATTTTGGAATGTGTAGATGATATTAAGTATGACCAATCCTAAAATTAGACGATGAATAAATACATTTTATAATACTTAAATTAAGTAATTCCAAACATTTATCTTACCTCATCAGTACCTTGCTCAGAAGTTTTTGCTTTCTTTACTGCTACAGGAGATAATGACATATCTTTATTTAAAATACCTCCAAATGTTGTTACATCTGTATCGTAACCCATATTATTCAGAAGACATAAAAGAAATGTTTTTAATTCAGAACGAATTGTCAAGTCACTCGATCCAGGAGCATTTCTCATAGCATACCATTTGGCAAATATTTGAATAGCAATTTCTTTTGGCAAAATACTATTTAAAGCTTGTAATAGCTTTGTAACTGAAATATGAAATAACATTTTAATAATTTATGAAACTAAACCTTTTATGTCCAGCAAGTATTTAAAAAAAAAAATTTTTGTTAACCACTCTCAGACTCTAATTTGAAATAGAACTAGAAGAAATCCTACAATATCAATTACATATATTCAGTTACAGAGCATTTGATATGCTTTCAGCATCCCTGTAGTATATACAATCCTCTTTTATACTATTGTTTAGACATATCCAGTAATTCAGAATACTTACTGATCAAACATACCAATGACACAGATTAAATTTCCTACACCAAAAACTACCTCATAAATTATTCTGTAGTCTCTATAAGATTTCTAAATCTAGCCTAGCACAAGTTCTATCATTCCTTAAAGTCTCCTATAGCATACCACTAAAGTTATTTGATTTTATTGAAATCCAAAAAGTAAAAAACTCAAAGCAGTTCTTGACAAATGTGAACATCTTACTTTCCTGATAAAGATATCTCCAGAAATTCCTAACATATCATCATCAGATAAACAGGATTTGCAGAATTTAACAATAACGGACTAGGATCTTATCATCATTCCAGACTTCAGAAACACATTTTCATCAGTGCAATTAGCTCCCTGCTTTTGCAATGAGGGACTTATTTTTTAACTCATTCTATGCCAGCAGGCAGGATATCCTGCCCTACAGCATTCTCATAAATGCATCAAAAAAGAATATTTGCCTTGCTTTTAAGGCAGTCCTACTTGCTTGCTGCTGAATCATGCTCTTGATTTTCTTTCTGACAAAGCTATGTTTTTTTATTATCCATAGTGTTTCTGCTCATCAGATTGATTTGTTTAAACTTGTGCCCTACCACTTTCCATATAATTATCTTATCATCTCATATATTCATTGTAATGACCAACATCCTTCAAATTTATATATTTTCTTTTGAAAGACTGGATAAACCATAGTACTATTACTCAGACATTAAAATACAGTACAATTTCGATTCTCAAATGTTTTTGGTAATCTTAATTGACCTTCTTCAGAACAGAAACAAACAAATTTCAATTCAACAAAAAGAATGAAAACTGGAATATCTCTGGAACAAGTTGATTTCAAATAGTAATGTTTCATAATAACAAAAATTTAAATGTGCACGTCAGACTTCTACAAGGATTAAAATATAAACTCACAAATCAAAACAAAAAACACAAAAAAATAAACAATAAAAGAAATAAAATAATGGAATGAAATATATAGTTCATAAAATTAACTGTATTGTTAACAAAAATATATATGTAAGAATTAAACTAATGACATAACTCATATTACGTGTACTATGCCATACAAAAAAAACTTACAAGTATGCACAACTGGATATAATAGCTTAATATATATATGATAGTGTGTGATAATCTCTTTTTAGGCTCAAGATAACCATCATATATATAAGTATTATATCCAGTTCTGCATACTTATATTTACACACACATTTGTTAAAAATATGGTTAAGTTTACAAGCTATATATTTTGTTTTATTTTTTATTTCTTTCATTGTTTTTTTAATTTTATTTTATTTTTCTTTTGTTGTTTTTATTTGTGTTATTTCAATCTATGTACAAATCTAACACATGCATTTAAATTTTTGTTGTTCTAAAATGTTAATATTCAAAATCAATGTTCCATAAGACTCCAGCTTTTGTTCTTTTAAAATTGAAATTTGTTTTTTCTGTTCTGAAGAAGGTTAATTAAGACAACCAAAAATGTTTGAGAATTGTACTGCATTTTAAGGTCTGAGAAGTAGCACTGTGGTTTATTATAAGTGCAGTTTTCAGAGAAGGAAAGACTGGATGTAATCATTAATCATAGTTTGTTGGTAAATCAAGATCATGTAAAAATTCCTTGCAAATTACTTCAGTTCATTGATACTAGATGGTATTATCAAGACTGAACTTAAGCTATATTTATTTTCTGACTTTTTTCCATATAATCACACTTTATTAAAATGAAAATAATTGTATTCTTTCCTAAATGTCTGTAAAGTACATATTCTAAAGCAAGAAGTAAGCAGTTTTTCAAATACTATGATATACTATAAGCCATAAAGGAAATACAAAAATCATAAGCGAGGTTGAGGCCAAAGTTTTAAACGCGAAAATGTGTACATCAGATGTTCAGCACCGCTATCCTGGCATGCAGCCTTAAAAACTAGAATGATACACAAAACATTCCAAATTCCTTATGTATCTGATGATCCAATGTCATACAAACTTTTATCTTTTAAGACTCCAATTAAACAGGCTTACACACATTCTGCATCAAAAATAGACAACTATGAAATGTAAGGAAAATGAAAGTCCATCATCACTGGCCACTGTGTTCTCCTCTATTTGCAATCACAAAACTCTTCACAACTAGAAAACAAACTAGGAAAAATGTATAATAGTAAAAGGGAAAATTTAAACACAACCCAACAGTATACAAGCTAGTGAAGAATGATAAGGATAAGGCACAATCCTCAAGAAGCATTGATTGACATTGTGTTCTTGTGACAGATTAGTGCATGTATAGATAGGCCTAATCTTTAGGAGTAGGAACTAAAGAACATCAATATCACACTAGAAAAGATCTCCTCATCTCTTTTGGCATTTGCAGCCCAACAAGGTAATTAGTTTTGGATAGAGCATCAAGCTATTCAATGTATTTGAACATGAATGAAGTGCATATCGTAGGATTTTTTTTCAGTTGTTTCAAATTTAAAACTCAAGGATAGCTAATAAAATTAGCCAAAAAAGTTCATTCATTTTTAAGTTATGCATGGACATAAAAGTTTTACTATTTTAGCTTAACTTTGACCAGATATTGCTTAAATTATCTTTTTAATAAATATTTTTTAATATTGGAATCTAATATTTTGGAAACATAAAAACTAATTCAACAAGATTTATTATACTGCAAATACACATCATCATAATTCAGAAACATTTAAAATATACATGCTAATATACACTTCTATTTGATAAAAAAATATATAAAAATGGAAAGTTTTCAAAAGTTATATGAAACGAAAACAAAGATAAAAAAGTGATGTCATAAATATTTTATTTCAACAAGATTCCAATTAAATTATTTTTGAAAAGCTGTATTTATAGCCTTGCATTGTATTATAATCTATAAATATAGAATTTACAAAAGAAAAATTTACTCACCTATTATTGAATTAGACATTTTTGGCAAAGAAATCCTGTAAAATGTTCCATTTGAAGTTTCCTACAAAAATAAAAATTTATAAGAGACAAGAAAATTGTGAATATTTAATAGAAATGATAAAGAATAATACAAATATTTAATCCAACCAACTTTTCAGACAAATATTTTACTCAATTTTAGATTTTTGAATTTTATATAATTATTTATTTTGAAGAGACTATGATTATACAAATTTCACAAGTTCATATATTAAAATTTCTCACCTTAATAATAAAACTTTTACAATATGATATCAAGAGAGATATCTTACTAGAAAATTGCATGTTTCCCCCCATATATAATGAAAACTGTGAAATCCCTATATAATCAAAAGATGAGATAAATTTCTTCACATTGTATTAATCTTAGGAAAGAAAAAATTATAAAGATCAGTACAGTTTGAAAAAGAAACGTAAAGAAAACAAATTAGTAATTAAAAAGATAAACAAACTTGAAGAAAGAATTACCGACTATTTTAGAAATTAATCAACTAATCAAGCCAAATGGAGACATCAAGAGTTTCCACTAAATAATTTCATCCAGCAAAATGGATCCATACAAACTGCTGCTTAGCAATGACTATTTACAGATATCAAACTCACAGAATAAAACAAGTAAACCTTGTTCCTACTTTTTATTGGATCCAGAACACTTACAAATAGATGTCAACCAGCAATCAATAGAAAAACATTTTCTGTTCAAAACTTATGGTAACTTGAGACAAAAGCATCATTGAATTTTTTTTACTATGATCGATCTTTGAGAGACACCATGATGAAATGTTAATATAATATTAATGAAAATTTTAGAAAAATTATAAACTCATTTTAAGTAAGTCTAGTCTCATCCATTATTTGAGAGAGTACAGTACTTATGGTGAAAAACAGCCAGTGGGTGCATCTATCCATTTACTGTAATGACGGTGAAACAGACAAAATTGTATAGTATAAATCCAACTTTAATCAATTACTTTTAGTCCAAATTAAATAAGATTTGTATATTTAATTAATCAAAATATATCCCAATAATAAATCCAGCTTGATTATTTGATTGGTAACATTATTTGAGCTTTGTTTCTCACATGATCACTTTAGATAAAAGCAAGATTTTTTTTTTAGGTATTATTATTCAAATTTTTATCAAATTTAAAATTTCATATTGTACTTACCAAATTTACTCTATTCATAACTGAATCCTTTAAACCAATTACAGTTCCTAATGAAGGTAAATTGTAGTCATCAATCAAAGAATCCTCCATTATTTTACTGTCATTTATATGAATTGGAACAGGAGAAAGCAATTTTAACTGAAGAGAACAAAATCAAATTATATACTTTAAAATACTTTATAACTATATAAAACATATTAAACCAAACTTTCAATATATTAATTACTCAAATTCCTTTTAAATATTATTGATTTCACATTTTTTATTCTTATATTATTTTTCATCTTTCTGTAGTTTAGTTAAATTTTCAGCATTAATCTGTGCATAAATTATATTTTTATTTATAGTTTTTAAATATCTTTTTAAAACAATATTTTTGTAAAATATATTTCTTGAAGTATTAACAATAATTCATAATAACAAAGTTACATTTAAAATATTGAATGCAACATATTTTATTTATATTACCAATACTAAATACATAGATGTATTTGTTACAGAAATTTACAAATTAAAATTAATAAATTTTCTATATTTTTTAAATGATATAGCTTACTTCTTCATCAAATTTTGGATCCACTGCACTTGGGGGCCTACTGGACGTGATCAAACTGCTTCTTCTAGGAGAACCAAACTGTAAAGACGCTCGACGACTACTAGTACCAGATAGCATGCTAAAAGGTCCAGCTACCATAGGAATATGTACTTTACAAATCTAATAAAAAAAAATGAAAGTAGAAAAACAGCATTAATATAAGTTTTAATACAGAGTTTTGCTAAATGAATGCTACCATTTTAAATTATCCTCATTATGTTAATTATTATCCAAGAACATTGTAATATACATTAAAAAACTAGAAAACCATTAAAATTATACATTTGCCAATTACAATTTCTGAATGCCTGCACACCTGGTGTCACAATGTACTGTACTGTACAAATCTGACCAATACTCAAATTCCTCTTATGCTTTCATTTTGGCATTTACATTGTCACTCTTTCCACAGTAGCCATAATTCTACAGCTCCTGCAGATTACTCATGTTTCACAAATGATGAGCGATTCCAATATTGTGAACTGCAAAACACAAAATGCCTTCTCTGTTGCAAAGTCACCATTGTCATTTATGTTGCTTCCTAGAGGTAATAGACTGCAAGATGTTTAAATGCAAGTGGAAGATGAAACTCGGATGGTCATTTTATTGTTTGGTGTACATTGCATACTTCTTAGATAATAATTAACATAATTACAGTAATTTAAAATGGTAGCATTCGTTTTGAAAAACCTTGTATTTAAAAACATGCACATTTAATTATAATTTAATATAATGTAATCACATAGTTAAAATAAGTTTCAATATATTAAATCAAATATATGAGGATAAAAATAAATAAATAAAAAATACTTACTTTTGTAATACCTGTATACAATGTTATAGTAAATCCTACATCAACAGTTATCAATAGATTTAATGCAGGAAGAATATCTGCATCTCTGGCTAATATTGTGCTGACCGTACCAAATATTAATTGTTCTTGATCGTTACTTTCTTCAAATTTTATAAGCCTAAATAACATTTAAATTCAAAATTATAAAGCATATGTATTTAATAAAACAATTTCATATGTCAAACTAAAGCAAACTAAGAATAAAATTAATGTTGGATACATTTCCATTATCAATTTTTATATTAAATCCTAATAAAAGCATTAATTCCAAATTAAATGTTACAATTAATAATTGTTTATTAGTAATGAGTTTCAATTTCCTGTTTCTATCATCAATAATTCTCTTTTTATCTATACACTATGAGATTTGAAAGGGAGAAACGCAATCTGTACCAAATATAAATCACACTTAAGTTCTCTTAATGAATATGTTCTCCATTACCATATCACAAAAGTAACATACAAACATCCTGTTATTAAAAATTTAATGAAATAAATTAGAGTCAAATAAATATCTACAGTAGAAAATAATTATTATTCTTTATCCCAAAGTGTAAAAGCTGGCAAAATTAGGATATAGGAAATATTAGGAAATATTAACATCCCCATCTGTAATATTATCTATACTAGCAATCCCTTTCCCATTGTGTATGACTTATTTCACTGTTTCAATCTGCATCTCCCCTTCATCTCTTTCCTCTTGTCAATTTTTCATAAATTTTCTTTATTGGTTCTATACTCTATTCACACATGACAATACCATCCCAATCTCATGTTCTTTCTATTTTCTCTGCAATATGAGTTACTTGTGCACATTCTAATTTTACTTAATAATTTCCACTGACAATTTGGCTATTCTCATATTTGTTTTCTCCATTAATTCTTTTCTTCTTAAACTGATGTTTCTATTTCATATAACAAAACTCATATTTATTTTTTAAATTTTTATCTATTGTTTTCTAGGCATTTCTATATCATATATAATTCCTGATAACTACCTCCATTTCTTCCATTCTATTTAGTAGTTTCTTCTTGTGCTTATCATTATTCCTTTTTTTGCATTAATATTTAACTCTTCATTTTTTAATTTTTCTTGCAACAGTCAAATAAATAAATATTTGATTGTGGCAAGAAAAATTTATCATTTATTTTGTTTTATTTACATTTATTTTGGAAATTTTGTTTAGTCGAGGGTGACTACTTCACTCTCCCAACCAGAAACAAAACCAGACTACTAGAAAACCATTAGCAGTCTGACTGTCTAGAGATCATGATTAGTCACATGGTGGGAGAAACAGAAGGTGTAAAAAAAAACAATTATGATAATTATTTGACTTAATGAATGTAAATAAATAGTTCAACCTTTATGCTTACTGCCAGCAGGAAAAATAAACATATGCAAATCAAAAATGTGAAAAAACGAAATAGGAAGTGACTATGACATCACTATACCAACAGATATAATATGAACACAAAGTGGCAAGTTTGAGGAGAGGCTTGTTAGCAAAGGCTAGATGAAGAAATGCCATAGAATTACTACAGTTGTATTGTAATTGACTTAATTATATAATTAGTAGATACTAGTACATTGTTTAATTAATACAGTAATACCCTGAACTTACGCAATAGGTGGGACCGAGCGATAACTGTGTAAGTCAAATTCGCATAAGTCAAAGTATAATTTCATAATTTGTGTAAAATCCAAGTTGGATGTATGTAAGCTAATAAATGTTATCTCGTCTTTTGATTCATTCACAATAAAAGAAATCACCACACAGAGTCTCTCGAGTCTCTGTAGATATAACAAACACAGAAATAAATAACACAAAATAAATTGTAGCTATATGTCGATTCCACACGACACGTCCAAACACGTAAGCTGAACAATAGTGTGGGGGGAATGAGTAATCAATAGTTGCGTGGCGCTCAAACAAAAGACAAATCGATGAGATTTGAAAATCGTGTAACTCTGGGTTCGCGTAAGCCGGAGTAGCATAAGTCGAGGTATTACTGTAATTATATTGCATTCCCTTAATTTCTCTTAGGCACTCTCATCTTCATCAAACACCAATATACTATATCCATTGATATTTGATCATAACTGTTTTTGAGATCAATGAATATACAGCAACCATCACTCCAGATACTTGGCCCACATGACAATGACGAATGCAAACTAGCAATGAACATTTTCCTTGGTGCCTCCACAAATGAATATGGCCATCATGATTCTGTATATAGAACCTGGCTTCATCTGAAAAGATAACGTAATGCCATGCCTGTGTCCATATTCTTCGTTGAACACACCACTGTAAGTGCACCTGTCTCTGCTGCAGCTTCAAGGGGAGCTGTAGCAATGGTCATTGTGCTGCAGACGTTATCACACTGTTTGTGCAGACACTTACTGTTCTGAAAATCCAAGTTCCTGACTCAGGATATATGATGTGGCTGTACAATCCCACAACACCATGTGGTCAAGATGTTTGTCCTTTTGGGTATTAGCGATCAGGGGTTGCTGAGATCTCACACAGCATTCTGTATGGCCTTCCTGGACCTGACGACTCCGTATTCTCATGACAATCATGGAATCATAACCAACACAAGCAGCAATAATATGGAATGATAAACCACAGTCCCGGTAGGCTATGATTCTACCATGATCAAACTCTCACACATTGCTGGTAGGCATTCCTCTTCCTTACATGAGGCATAACAAAACCTTTACACAAGCAACGAACATGCAAATGCAATTTCTTTATGAAAAACAGGTTGAAGTAAAGCTTACTACAATCTGTATAAAAGGGAAAACTTTACAGTTTTCCCTTTTACAGATTGTAGGTGGACTTACTTCCATCTGCTTTGCGAGCATACATTGAAATGCTAATAATTTGCATATCCCAGCATGTTGTACCTTTTGTGCAAATTTCATGTTAGTTGCATGCCACCTTCATGGTATAGCAATTTTAATGGCCAGCAGTGTATATATATGGAATAAATATAGATAATATAATTTTATATATATTATTATACAGTTATTGCCTTTATAGGCATTTTTATGCATGATACAGAGCTAAAAATGTAAATAAAAAAGATTTTGTTTTTGTGGTCAGAAACGGATTAATTAAGTAGTGTGGCTTGTAGTAACTCTTTGTCACTTCCAAATGCATACATCTTAATTTTCAAGGCAGTACAGGATGCATCTTAATTTCTGTTTTGATTATCCAAAAAGACTAGAACAAGTTTGAGCTGCAGAATTTTCAAAATTATTGAGGATTTATTGTTAAATGGTTTTTACCTGTTGGAAAATAATGTAATTATTCCTATTTCTTTACAACAAATATGTAAACAATGCCATCAGGAATGAAACCCAGCAACAATGCAGTCTCTTGAAAAACGGACACCACTTTCAATGGCTCATATAAAATGTAATCTATTTATACTTAAACATATACTTATTTAATATTAATAAAGAACTATATAATGCCTACCTTAAATGCTGATGTTCTTTAAACAAAAAACATAGGAAATTCTGATTGCAAATGTCTGTAGTGATGAAAATTTTTGATGATTTTTCACCTAAACTATGACTGAAAAAATTTATTTCTTATTAAAATTTACTCTTATCTCTTAATAACTTATTAAAAATGTGTATATAAAAAAATATTATATAATACTAAATTATCATAATGCTTTTCAATTTTATATATGTAATTTATTAATTTTCTATTTGATAATAATTACAATATTTGTGTTACATCAGTATCAATCAGTTTTGCTGATAAATAGTACATTTAGTTAACAATTCAATTATTACAGGACAGTTCTTACCTATGAGATTCAATGTACATTTGTTCTAAGCAGATATCTGGTGCAAGTGGTTCAACTAATTCCCACAGAACACTTTTGGGTGAACCAGCTGCCGAATATGCCCAATTTTGAGAAGGTGGTGGCGTAAACACAAATGGTTGATGAAGGGAACCAGTAAGTAATGGAGATTGAGAACGACTGAAAATATATATATAATATATATTTTATTATTCAGATAATGAAATCAATTTACATGAAATTGTGATAAAATGTATCTTTATAATATAAAAAATCATCATCATCAATAATTTCCAGTTTCTATGTTTTCTTAATAGTTCGTACACTTTCAAACTTGTGTAAGTTGAATTAATTCATTGAATATACTATTAACACAGTTAAATATATTATCTCTAAGTCCAATATACTCTCGATTATCCGTGTGTGGATTATCCATGCATGCTTACGTCTTAATAAAAGTTTTTATTAGAAATACAATACTCATATTAAAATTCTAAAAAATCTGTATTGTTAACTGACTTTTAAAAATGGTATACTGAGCATCAGAACTACTTCCAAAATGTCAAAGCATAAATTAAATGGCCTAACAAGTATAATAAATACAATTGATTCCTGAAAATATGGCTTTACTTATGTGTATACTGTATTATTTTTTATTCATTAAATAAGTTTGAAAATATTTTATTCAAACAATTTTACATCATTTCCTTATCAATAAATCATTAATATTGCAAAATTAATGTTGTGTTATGACAATATATAGCTGGCAACCTCAGTTAATAATACAAGAAGTTTAAAGTTTATTAATTAATTATCACTCTCAAAATGTATTTTATTCATAATTTATTCATAATTTTAATATGAAATTGAAAACTAAATTGATTAGGTTTCATTAAAACAGACTTGTGGATTAGCCATGTTTCTATATTATCCACACCTCCATGCCTGGATAATCAGGATATGCTGGATATAGAAGGATATGCTGGATACAGAAGGATATGCTGCACCCATCTATGTACACTCCATCCACCTACACAAAATATATTGGTATCAGCTTAATTTTGACTGGATAAGCTATTAAAAGTGCAGTTACCCTACTACTACCTGACTTTATTCACTACAACAGTTTTTTAAATCTTGCTGAAATCCAAGCTTGTTTAACTTGAAATTGATATCTAAAATTGTACTTTCCAAATTCTAGGCTAGTTTAGTGCTTTGTAAATATTTTGTGCAGTGAATAAAACTAGTCTATTAGAGTCACTGTCAGATTCATTAGCAGAATGGGTTTCACATATTACGCTAATTAAATCCTCATCAATTAATTTGTAATCAGTAAAAAATTCATTGATATCATCCACATTTAAATCTTCAAAACATTCTTCTTCAAATAGATATAAATTAATTGCAAAAGTAAACTTTTATTACTTAACAAATTTTTTGAGGTTTTTATGAATTAATCAAATCATTCCAGTTTCTGAAATTGAGTGTTTTTGCACATAGTAAAGACAAGTAAATTTGTTATCATTGAATGCAGAGACACTTAACATTCTCTCTCTACAGATCAACCAAAACAAGATCAATAAAATCAAATATGATTTTCAGTCCAATGCTATATAATAATTTCAATAAATATTATAGAGAGATATTTTTTGATCACATGAAACTGAGACCATGTATAAAAATTACTACATAAATGAACTGATTATACAGCATGTAAAACTACTCATAGCAGGTAAAATTTATTATTAAGTCCATTAAATTTCAGTAAATATAACAAGGAATATTGTAATAGTTTCATTATTTAATCATCAGAGATTATTTATTATAAATATAAAATATATCATATTACCTCAATGTTGCCATATGAGTTAAACCTGATACTGAAGGACTTGACTGTTTAGAATGAAATCCAGTGGGAGACGAAACACGACTAGTGAGATGACTATGAAATGGAGATGATACATTATAACTAGGAGTTTGACTACTGTGAGAATGACTAATTGTAGACTGCAATTGTCCAGTAGTGCAACTAACTGGAGTATTTGATAGAATGGAACTATATTCACTGTGCATATTAACATTTACTTCCTAAAACAAAAAATTTTAAACTATTACATTTGAAATTTGAACTTTTATCAATATATCTTTTTATATAAAATGAAATATAAAAAATTAAACACAACACCAAACCATTCAAAGAGTTTAAAAAGTGTAATATCCAAGTGGAAAGGTTTTTAGAGCATTTAATAATGTTATAAAGTATAAAATCTCAAGAGGAAGATGTAAGCAATTAGTAAAGGATGCAAGAAGTTTAAAAGTGGAAGAAGTAAAAGTAAGTGTTTGATTAAGGAAGCTTGTATATCCTTCTGTCGTTCAAGAGAAAGTAATACAAACAATAATGAAGATGTTTAAGAATGAGTATTGGATGAAGATCGAGAATAAAGGTGGTATGAGAAAAATTATATATATTGTGAAAATCCAGACTTAAACAAACAATTTAACATTGTAATATCAACTTTGTCAACTATCTGTCAACTTTCACACCTGGGAGTATATCTCCTTTTAAGTTCTCAGCGTCGATAAAGACACTTTCATGCGACCTTCTGACCTGCTGTCCCAATTTCATCATTTTAATATAATACCAAACAGGCAGTCATTGCCAGTCCCTCTAGGATTAAAATTATCAAAATTTTCCTGTGTTGTACCCTATCGGATTTTCACGTAACCCTCAACTGTGCCTAAAAGAAGAACTTTCTGGATCGATCCAGAACTTTCTTGATTCAGACATGTCCCAAACAAACCAAATTCCCAAACCCAAATCTGGACAACCTCAAGACCTTAGACCTCTGAGTTCTCATGAAATCCAAATCAAAAAACATCACCATCAACACAGGTATTTCGCAACTCGCAAACAATTGTAAACTCTCTCTCTATAACTGCTAGATAGATAGGCTAAGTCGATATACCACAATATATATCTTGTATATTGTATCATGTACTGATTTTTGTTGAAATTAAACAGTTATTTAGTTGTTAACTTTAGTGCCTGAGTACTTTACTTTCGTCAGGCTGTCTCTCTGTCTCCATCCAGAACCCGATCACTTACTCACGCGGCCACTTGCATGATCTACTTTTTAACCCAAACTAAACTTGCCATCATGCCTTCCGTGTCAACTGAGACACAGTGGTGTCGGTCCTGACAAGACATCAAAGAGGTGTCGGTCCTGACAAGCATCAAAGAGGTGCCGACTCTCTGGTCACAATATTGTGATTAAGCAATCAGATTTTGGATATAAAGGTAAGTGTTATCACCAGAAAGTTAGTTTAACAATTGGTTCTTTTTCAGGAATATTAGCTGTGATAGTAATACAAAAGGTCAAAGAAGGGGTAATTTCAGAATAGGAAGATATAAACAAATAGGTATGTGAATAATTAGTTGTTTGAAAGAAGTACAGGATAAAGGAAATCAAAGATAAAAAGTTGGGAAATTAGAGTGTTCAAAAGATCTGAATTTTAAAAATTTGTTGTTGTGGCCATTGCTTTCAGTTGTATCGTTTGATCCTGCTGAAGATGGGAGAAATGCTTTCCTAAAACCATTTCAGAAAGTAAAGTTTTTGACTCCTTGAATGAAATTTGGTATTATGTATTTTAATAATAGACATGGAGTTGTGATTCTAGTTATCATAAAAATATAAAATGTTTTATTTTATATATATATAGTGCATTTATTCTAACAAACATGATACTCTCTGTAACTTTTCTCATCTTGCAGCTGCACTTTTTTATTAGAATAAATAGTATATATATTTTATTTAAAAAGCATCAAAATTACATTAAAATATATTTAATTTCATTTTTAGTTTTAAATATATTATTATTTTAACATTAGCAAATAGATATATTATTTTAAAACATATAAACATACAAACCTCTGTATTTGTCCTCCTTACTTTCCAAACACTATGAATTCCCTCTAATTTATGATATAAAACTAATAATGAAGGTTCACTACTAGTGAACACAATTTCTTGAGTAGTATTAGTACAATAATTAGTACGTCCAAATGAAGATACATGTTTTACCACTGGTGCCACTTCTTCCATTGGATGAAGCATGCTGAAGATAATTGGACTTTTATCGAACATTTCACTACAAAAAATTTTTAAAAATTAATCATAATGAAGTTTAAATTAAAAAATTATATACAATTTCTCTATTCTAACAATATCATTTTAAATATTTACTTTTATTAATTATTATTAAATAATTTATTTTTAAGAAATTTTAAGAAAAATATATAATTAAATATAAAAATTTGTATTCCATTAAAAGCTCCTTACCTTTTGGTATGTCTATCACTTACAATTCTTTCAAACAATAATCCATATTTTATTGCCCATGCTTTAGACACCTAAATTTATTTAAATTTAAAATAAACTTCAAAAAACAAAATAATATCATGCTTTAAAAGTAAATCTTTTGTTAACATTTAAATACATAAAAACATTTTAAAAAATTGTAAAGATTAAACTGTATTCAAAAATATAATTTATAAAATTTTCAATTAATAAATAAAAATTTGTTTTTACATATAAAAATATAAAAAATGGATTTTTTTAAAATTATATTTATATAAATGTAGTTTATAAATTTATATATAAAATTACTTTTTCATATAATTTGAAATTATAAAAAGTTCTACATAATAACTAACTTTAAATATTATTATTTATTTAGAAGTAATCATTTGACATAAAATGATTATTGCTAGATAAAAAATATTCTTAATTATTTTACACTTGGATTATTTCAATGTATCAAACAAATATATACACACACACACACAAAATAACTAATATAAAGTACATTATTGATTTATATATAAATTACTTTAAATTAATTACTTACTTGAAATGGTAATGCTACTTTATATTCTTCACCATTCATAGAAAAAACACTAAGTCCTGCTGTTTCTAATACAGATATGCAAGAGAGTGTTTCTGTTAATAGAAAAAACAAACTAATTTAATTATAGTTCCATTAACAAGTGTTTAGTAATTAAATAATTAAACTTTAGTAATTTATATTGAATATTTAATCTTATTAATATTCAAATATTTTGTAATTTCATTACACTGTCATGAAGAACATTCACAAATTCAAAGTAAAAAAGTTATTGTTTTAGATGAGGTAATTAAACATTTTATAACATTTAAATTCATAAAAAGCCTTCATTTACTGAAATTTTTCATGGATAATTTTTTCATGATTAGTTAAAAACTATTCATGAAAAATTTAAGATATTGTATTTTTTCTAATGATTCTAATGTTCTAAATTTAAGATATCATGTTAATGTTAGAAAAAAAATGATATCTTAAAAAATTTAAGTCTGCCATCTGGGCTAAAGTGCAATGCTGTCTTCACCATTTTCTGTTGCTCTGAATGACAAGCCACACCAGCAGAGTCGTGCATCCTGCATTTTCTCAGTAATGTGTGCCACACCCATGCCACTCATTACTGAGGTATCATATCATAAAAAGTTTAAGATGATGTTTATTGAAAAAATTCAAGATATCTTTTTTTTCTAATGTTAGCACTAACAAACTGTCATTCACAACCGAATATCAAATGATAGTCTGTCAACCAATCAAATTTGGTTGGCAGATTACCTACCATTTGGCTATTGGCATTGTTGCTATTAAATTTTGGTGGTTAAAAGTTAAGAGGTGAGGAGATAAAGGAGTCATGTATCATATTTTGAGTGGAGTCAGACTTAATGAAAATTTTACTCATTAATGTCATTTACAATTCTACCCTCTAAATTAAGCCCTCATATCTACCCTCAAAATTAAGCTGTTTGCCTTTTTATAATAATTAATTAAAATTATCTTTAATAAAATCTCATAACAGATGGCACTGCACATAATTTTAAAGTTGTGCTGATGTGTTTTATGGTTTTTAAACTTAAATATATTTTTAAATAGAGAAATTTCTCATAATTCAACAAAATCACTCCTTTTAAGCCTTTGTTATTATTTAAATTTTATATCCCAGAATAATTGAAAATTATCAGACTTCCTAATGGTTCACTTAATCTTATGTTTGCTGGGAGAGTCAAGTAAGAGCCTTTGCCACCTTTCTTAATCATGTTTCCATCAATTTTGTAAAAGAAAAGCTCATTGTTCCAATGTAACAACTCAATTAAAAGCCTCCAGACTACTCCATATGTATTAGACTATAAAAAATATTACAAAAAAGTAATTACCTGAATCCTTATTGGTATTATAAGATGTTATTGTAAGAGGTTTGCAACCATTCACACAGAATGTACACCATAATACCTAATTAAACCAAAGATTAATTAATTTCTGTAAAGTACTTATAAATAACTTAGTATTGAATAGTTTAAATACTATAAATTATACCTGCTGAATTGGATTTTCAAGTGTTAAGGATTTGTAAACTTTTCTTGTTCCATAGCCACTTCCACAACTCCAAACAACAGTCTGACCAGACATATACAACTCTTCTTCCCCATCACCTTTCACCGACTTTCTTAACTGCCATTGTTCCTTCTATAAAAGATGCAAATAAAGTATTTATTTTTGGAATTTTTAATTATTATATTTAATTAATCTTATCAACCAATTTTATAATAAAGAAAAACGACAGTATTTACATCTGGTCTATCTTGTATCGAAACTCCTTTCAACGCTCTTAGTAGATCACGACTAGTATCCAAGCAAGTCCTTATTTCTGCACTAACATCCACTGGCAGGTAAACATCCCCAGGATGATAATCGAGATGTTTGCGTCCATAAGGCACAAACTCCTGGGAGATTCCCGCAGCAATCATAGCTTCTTGGCCATCCAGATTTGCTGGTTTATTGAACTCTATAAATAAATTACCCAAGTTAATGTTTTTCCACAAATCTAGGAATAATTAAACTATTTAAAAAGTCTTTAAAAAGTTATTGAAAAGTTCCTTTAAAAAGCTTTTCAAAATATTCCAAGTTTTCGGCACAATCATATTTTTAACCATTTTTACATATTGGAGTGGGGAAAGTAGTCTATACTCTGCTGTAAGGACTGTTTGTTCCCAAAGTGTATAAAGGACATTAAGAATTAAAGAAGATGCCTTTATGATACCTATGCATTTTTGTATTGCATAATAGATTAGTTTTTACAACTTTATAATTCTACAGAAAATCACATATACATATATATTTTATAAATAAGTATATTATTTTAGTTTTCTAAACCACCAATTAAACTACAAGAAACAAATTCTATGCAAAAAATAATTTATTCTTGAAAGAACTTTTAGAAATAATTTCTGAAATTATTTTCTTGATTTATTTCAAATGGCTTAAACAAGTTTGAAAATGAATAAATCAATTAAAAAAATCAATTAAAACTTTAAAAATAACAAAATTTCCTGCAGTAATCATAATTATACAAATATAATTACAAATTCAGTTAAACCTAAGCCATAACTATAAACATTTTATTTAATTAAAACTTTAAAGTAAATTAATTTGTGTACTGATTTAAAACGAAACTTTATCAATGGCATCTGCTATTTACTTAGTTGTACAATGAGTAACAGCAGTTACCATATTTAAAAACTAATAATTCAAATAAAAATTTCAAACTTAAAGATTATTAAATTAAAATTTAAAAGTTTAATTTTCCAACTTTCATAGATGCACTGCTTCTTTATTTCGGTAATCTCATAGCATTAGGTTATGCACTAACATTGTCTATTGGTTATTAAAATAAAAATAATTTTCTGTTATTAGGAGTACAGCTTCATGTATTTCTAAAACTTGCTGCATAGATAAACTTTTGTTAAGTAGTAGTAGTGCATTTGCCAACATTATTACCTCAAAATACGGCACTGACAAATAAAGGGAAACATCATCAATCTTGAAAAACCAATACATGTTTGATGGTTAAGCATCTAGATTTTTGTTATCATTTTTGCTTCGATGGCTGATGTAACAACTAGATCAGAGTGAGGCATTAGAGAATTTAGAAATTTTACCATTTTCTTTTCTAAGAAATATGTAGGGTGTGTGCATTTATTTACTAAGGAGTGTAACAACCACTCTGGTTTGTCACAATTTAGATCCCTGACTAATGTAGCATGTCCGAGATTATTGTTTGAAGCAAAAGTTTGTGTACTTTCGCTTCAAAGAATAATCTTGGACATGCTACAATAGTCGGGGATCTAAATTGTCAATAAGAGATGGGGTAATTGTTGGTAATCCTGGCAATGAGATAATCCTGGCAAGGCGATAACCTTCCTTGTTTTATGCAGAACAGCTGGCATTGGATCTGAAGTCAATAATAGATTGTGAAAAAAATTGATTTGCTCTAAATAGAAAATCCTTGTTTTTGCACATCACAAACTGTTTAGCATTGTCTGAATGATCAGTCTTAAGTTCTCTTTTAAAAGAACTGTTTCACTGCATTACACTCCTTGTTAATCAGTTTAGGTGTTTGTTATCACTGGGCAAGTGTATTTCTGAGATGGCAGAAATTTCTAGGTTTATTCTTTGATTTGATTTTCTTGAGAACAGTTTCTTACTGCTGCCATAACTGGTAGAATTAGCTGACTTAAATCCCTTTTCATATGAAAGATGTGCTTGGAACCACATTGTAGGATTTGGTGGATTTATTCTGGAACTGTAACATTGGAGTAATTGTGATAATCACCATGCACCCTGGTTATCCCTTCTATACTTCTTACTTCCTGTGCTAGTGCTTGTGGAGTGAAAGAATGTATGAATGCTCTTCAAACCAAGGCTTCACAAGTGCTGGAGATGACTAAAAGCAGTTGATTTTTAGCACTGTTTTGAGAAATAGCTCCAGTCTTTCACTTTTATCTTTTACCCCATTTTTGAGGGTCTTCAAAATTCCACAAACCAACTTCAGGGAATATATCTTGTAAAGGATCATATATAGACTGTTGGTTCCTTTGATCTTTTTTACTCCTATGGTCATGACCTACAGCTCTGATAAGATCCTAACAGCTTCATTCAGAGCTGCAATTTTACCAAACTTTATGCATAAAACTGAGAAATTAAGTATATGAATTTGATGATGATATTATTTTCTCTGGTTAAAACAGTTAATATCTCTATTAGAGACAGTCTAAAGATCATTTAATAATAGCTATTTAATGTAGATGTACTGCCAGTTATCTCACATTTCATGACTGTTGTTTATAAAATTAAATTAATTCTAAAATTCTATTTACTTTAATATTTCAAGCTGATTAATAACTGATTATTATTGGATAAATTATACATATATTACTTAATGTACTATAAAATAATGCTCACACAAATTCAAAAATACATTAGCAGTAAAATGCATAACTAATATATAATTACATCACACTTATAAACCTAAAATATGCTAAACTAGCTGTTACCCACAACTTCACCCACACGGATTTTTCAAGCAAACACCATTTATATTCATTATTTCAACAACCATATTAATTGTTATATAACACCTACTGCTGAGAATGATGAGAATTGCTGAGAATCAAACAAACTGTTTTCAATTTGATCGATTTTCTGGAATGTTTACAAATGTTCTATAATCAAACCAATATGCAATTACAAATTTGAATTTAAAACGGTTCAAACGTTTGGTTAAAAAATCAAAATATATAAAAATATTTATAACAATGTCTGAAATGTTATCAATTTAATACACTTAAGTACTCAATGAAGACTAAACATAGTTGAAAACAAAAAATCACATCTAAAATAGCACAGTAGAAGCCATTCTTCAGGTTAAGCCTTAATGCTCTCCCTCTCCCCCCATGAGCGAATTTCGAAAAATCCCTTCTTAGTGTGCATTTTCATGGCGTACCCTAGCTATGTACCAAATTTCACCTCTAAGTTCAGCGGTTTGCTCTGGGCAATGATGAATCAATCACTCAGTCAGTCAGGAAAAGGAATTTTATATATTTAGATATATTTATTAAAGAATGCTTAATCTAAGTGGCTTCACCACTATTAGTTTTTGAATGAAAGAATACTTTTTATCTTGCATTTTCTACATTTGTATCATTGTCTATAAAATTAACAAACTGAAATCTTATCCAAGAGGTTGAACATCATTAAATTATTATTTTATATACAAATTACTTCAGTTATGGCTGTTCTATATGATAATATCAAAAGCGCTCAGCAACTAAATAAAGAGAAACAAAATGGTGCAAACACAAGGATCTGAGGTAAAATGGGACAAGGCAACAATCATCAAACCTCTGTCTTCCCCAACTCTAGCAATGACGGCAGAAAAAATAGAAATATACAGAAGTAAGATAAGAGAAGGCTGTTTAAATGCGAGGGATTCTGAGAGCCTACCTTCGGCATGGAAATATTTGGTTAAGAAATTTACTACAAACTCTGACCAGAATTAATACATTGAAGATTTATGTTATTTTTGTTTTATTGTTTTATTTTAATCTTTAAATAGTCTTCCGTTATTTTTTTCTCTTGTAAAATTTTTGATTTAAATTTTTATGTTCTATTCATGGAACATTTACGTTCCATTTTAGTTTTCAACCTGAAGATGGCCTATTAATTAGGCTGAAAACATTTGTTGTTGTTTAAAATTATGTTTATTTCTCGGCAAAAAAGGTGTTTTGTTTCTCTTTGTTCTATATGATTTCAGAAACACTTAAATTTCAAACACTCCAAAATAAACCTTAAAAATTGCATTAAGCATTTTAATTTCCAACATTATTGGCTGTATTTTACTGATCTTTCTCAGAAGAAATTTACAAAATGATCAATGATTGCATTTGAATAAAATGATAAATTTTAAATGTTCCAGAATAAACAATTTAAATGTTAGTACCAGAATTTACAAAAATCAAATATATATTATAAATAAAATTTTTACACACACAAATTAATTACATATCATTTGTTTTTAATATATGACTCATCACCAATTTTTAATTATAAAGAACATTTCTAGTGAATTTTAAGTATAGTATCATTTGTACTAGTACAATGGTATATATTCATGGAAAAGTAAATAAATAAAAATAAATTTTTCAAAGAAAATTCAAGAGAAGAGATGACAACATTCAATGACATCATATATCTAAACAAAACACATCTACAAGTGCCTTATACAAATACAGCATTGCCACACAAAAAAATCTCTCTTATTTATAAGACTAATAAATTACAACTCCACATATATATATATATATATGTGTGTGGAGTTATATATATATATATATGTGGAGTTGTATATATGTAACATTAATTATATATATGTGGAGTTGTTCTATATATATAACATTAATTATATATATGTGGAGTTGTACCAACTGTGATAGTCTTGAGTGCCATATCCCCAGACTGATAAAATATCTGAGCAGAGATAGTCAACCTTTTTATACCTACTGCCCCCATTTTTGTATCTTTGTTGGTAGTAAAATTTTCTAACTGCCCACCAGTTCCACAGTAAGTTAATTTAGCACAACAAAGTAATCGTAATTTTTAAGTGGCAATTTAGTAAAAATATATAGTCAAATTTATCTTTTTATTTATATTTTGCATATGTTTATAATACACAGAAATTTTTTTTGCCAGTGCGTTAAGTGTTTTTTTTGGTGTCAAACTGAAAAAAATAGCTAAATCTGGTAACGCTGACCCACCACAAAACGAGCTCAACTCAAGTGATGGCCACTGTTACAGTACAACCTGCTTTGTCAGTGAGTCATAGATGTGCGATGATAACAGAAAGTAGCTTCACCATCAGACAAACCCCTACCAACTACCACGAAAGCTCAAATCACCCACTAGTGGGCAGTAGGGACCAGGCTGACTACCACTGATCTAGAGGAACAATGAACTTTTCAACATTTGATTTACAAACAACTGCTTCTCAGAACTTCTTGCATACTAAGAAAATATCTGAGGGACACTCAAGGCCCAGGACAGAGTGTCCCTCACTTGTCCTGGACCAACACTGGTTACTTCAGTCAGTACCAGTCTGTGGCAGATGATAACCCTCCCAGTCATACTATAGACCAGTGGTTCTCAAAGTGTGCACCCTATGGTACCATTGAAAATACCACTCTATTTTTTGCCATGTTTTGAAACTGTATCGTATTTTTTATATTTGTTCTGTAAATGCAATGTAGCGTAATAACAATCACTTGGCACTATTCACTTCTTTATTTCACTTTTCATTGACTTCTTTATTTCACTCAACGAAAAGTGAAATAAAGAAGTGAATAGTGCCAAGTGATTGTTATTACGCTACATTGTGCTTACAGAACAAAACCACTCTTTTTGTTAACATATCATTATTATATTTATTATTAACACATCATTATATTATTTTTAGATAAATACACCCAAAGAAAATGGATAGATTTCTCAAAACGAAGCATGATATTGAAAAATCAGATTCTGGAAGTGAACAAAAGTTAAGTACAAGTAAGAAAGCAAAATAGCAGCCTACTCATAAATACAATGAAAGTTATTTAAGCTCTGGTTTCACTTGGACTGTAAGTAAGTTCATCCTTTACCTCTATGTTTAGTTTTGGATATAAAATGGCAAATGAATCATTGCTTCCTAGTAAATTGAGTAAACATTTTAAAACTATACACTCTAATTTACAATATAAATATGTAAGTTTTTTCAAGAGATTGTCTGAACAACAAACAAAAGCGGCAAATTCTTTTAAAAGTATAATGACTGTTTCTGATAAAGCTCAAATCGCTTCTTATCAAGTTTCAAAACTGATAGCAAAAAATATGAAACCTCATACTTTTTTAGGTGAGTCACTTATTTTGCCTGCATGCAAAAAATTGGTCATGACAATGATAAGAAATGAAGCAGCAATGAAAATAAGCAAGATTCCTCTGTCCAACGATACAGTTCGCAGGCATATTATAGAAATGTCTTCTGATATTGAGAAAAATGTATGCAGTAATAAGCTTCGGTATTCAAATTTTGCATTGCAAGTTGATGAGTCAACAGACATTACCAACATGGTGCAACTCTTAGCATTTGTCCATTTTATTAATGAAGATCAAATAGTAAATCAGTTTTTTTTTGCAAAGAACTGTGTGTCTACAAAAGGTTAAGACATTTTTAACATTTTGAATAATTATCTTGATAAATGGTAGTTAACATGGAAATCATATGTAGGCATTTGTACAGATGATGCTCCTTCCATGGTAGGCTGTGTTAAGGGTCTTACAACTTTTGAAAAAAACAAAATGAAAATGTTATCATAACTCACTGCTTTCTTCATAGGGAGGCCTTGATGGCAAAAACATTGGGAGAAAAATTAAGACAAGCTTTAGATCAATTTATTCAGATGGTAAACTTTATTAAAAGATCTTTATTTGAAAAGCTTTTATATTGATATGGATTCACAACACAGACGGCTGCTTTTACACACTGAGGTGAAATGGTTGCTAAGGGGTACACGAACCTGTGTGTACACCTTGGCAACCACTTCACCTCAGTGTGTAAAAGCACTGGAGTGGTACCTGTGTACACGAACTATAACAAGAACTTCTTGCATTTTTTGAAGAAATAAAACAGTTAAACTTTTGTAACGTCCTTCGATGCAAAGTTTGGATTGCCAGGTTATAGTATTTGGCTGATATATTTCAGCAGCTCAATATTTTGAATACTAGCATGCAAGGGAAAGAAGAAAATATTCTCACATCCACTGACAAAATGAAAGCATTTCAGAGAAAACTACAGATTTGGAAAATAAAAGCTGTTGAAGATAGTTTGGAAATGTTTCCATTGGTAAATAACATTGGTAAATAACACTTGCATAAATGAAACACTTTTAATAATAGTCCAATAATAAGTTTAGAAGAAAAATAGGGTTTGTATTTTCCATCATTTAACAGTGAACAATACAATTGGATTAGAAACCCATTCATGGAAGCTTCAAGTGATTTTGGTTTGACATTAACAGAAGAACTGGTAGCTATATCCCTGATTATGATTAAATTGATTGATGATTGATGACTGAATTGATGATTAAATATAAGGAATTGTCTCTTGAAGCCTTTTGGATTTCTATAAAAGAAGAATATGTGGAAATATCTAAAAAAGCTTTGAACATTTTACCACAATTTTCAACATCCTATTTATGTGAATTAGGATTTTCTACCTTCAACACAATTAAGAGTAAAAAGAGAGGAATTCTTCAATCTATTGACAAGAAAATGAGAGTTTGCCTTTCAAATATATGACCATAACATTGAAGAAATCACTAGGACACACCAGGTTTGTGTTTCTCATAAACACAAGAATGAAAAAACTTAATACATTTGTGCTAGGACCTGCTGAATATACTAAATCTTAAGAATATATATATATATANAGCGTATATGTATATATATATATATATATATAAAGATAACTTTTTGTTGTTTTTTTATTTTTTAACCCCTCTTTTTTACAAATTCTAAAAATCATAACTCAAAAAATGTAACATAAAAATGTCTTTTAACGTCAGAATAAATTTAATTTTGCCATATTTATTTTGTTTAATTACCATAAAAGCATGCTTAAACTTTATTTTTTTTGTTTAATATTTGACTTAATTATTATAACGTATTTCTCAGAAATTTGTATACAGTGCACCTACAATTATTTGTAGGATTTTAAATGTGCCACAACTTCAAAAAGTTTGAGAACCACTGCTATAGACTGAGGCTTCCAGCTTTGGATTTATTCGGCTACAACTTGAAAAAAAATTGTAGACCTATAAATTCCCACTGTCGGCATCTCTCTGTCTTTCCTTAATCTCAAAAACAGAGTTAGATAGACGAAAGACGAGACCAGATACAGAAAGATTAGAGGCAGAAGGCCCTGGTTAACTATTTACTAACTTCTGATGCAAACCAAAAGTCACATTATTTCAATTCACCGCATTATATATACGGACGACCACTGGCTCGTTCAATGCTAAAAGATTGAGCACCGAAAAACTAAAAAACCAGTAGGAAAATGTTAAACAACTGTAGCAAATGTTTGACACAGGAGAAAACACTCTGCCAGAGCCATCCATTAACATTTTCCTTCCAGATTTTTTGGTTTTTTGACGCTCAATCAATCTATTAGCATCGAACGAGCGATCGGTCATCCGTAATCGGCACCCAAAACTTTCTTAGCATCGTTCGAGTATTGCCGTACCCGTCGACCTTCTCCGATGCCATCCGTTTACTCACAACACGCACAGAAGCTCTGGAACTTTAGTAAGGTTATTTATAACAGCTTCAGCTACAAATTTTTCCAGAAAACAAAGATGAGAGCCATAGTCCCATATGTATAATGGAAGAAAGAACACATCACATGAAAAGAATTTCATATTTTAAAAGAAAATATGAAACTTATTCACGATTCTCTTTCATCGTACGACTTAATGTAATTGAGTAATAAAATGAAAGCATGTTTTAAGACATAATATTGTAAGTAAATGTTATAAAAGTTCATTCTATTTAAAACCGTGGATATATTGAAACACTTGCACGTACTTTTATTTTAGAGTGTAAATACTTACATAAACATAACTTGCGAAGAAGAATGAAAGGGAATTTTTATTCGCGATGTCGTTTACCAATTTGTCTTCGCCCGCTTGTACCTACGACAGCGCCCCCACAAAATACGAAATGTCTCTCGTCTTTTGGCCGTAATTTTTTTTTTTTTTTTTATTACATTTTTAAAACAACAAAATATTACAAATTAAAAATAAAATATTTAAATTAATCTGTTTAATATTCTGTATAATGTGAATGAAGATTTCTTGATGGTCTGCTGACATCTGTCTTTTGTTTATATACCCGCGACCGCTCGCTAAAAAAGCTCTCACTTGTCAGTGGCCGCGATACTGTACTGTACATAAAGTACTAATGAGTTATTCGTTGATCTCGCAATAGATAGTGAAAGGAGGAACGACATATCCAGTCGACTCGTACAACTGAATAAGTTTGTCAGGCATCCGGTTTCGAGTGCTGGCAAACTACTGGAACCTTTACAGCCTTAGCCATCCTGCCAATAAATAATAATTGCTCGAGTATGCTCCTGTTAGAAGAGTTCGAATACGATTTTATCTTCTTTCTGCGTAGCAATATTATAACTATTTTTCTCTGCAAAATCTTTTCTGTGGTGACTGAACACAGAACAACACGGAAACGGAAACTTTTCCATGTTGTTTATGTGCTCGGCCAAAATGAAGAAAAGGAGAGATCTACAAAAAAATTTTCAAACTACAGTCGACCCCCTCTGTAATACTGTTGATAATTCTGTGTTATATGAATTCCATGTTGTACGAGTTACTTAGATTTTACAAATAGGTGTGCCGGGCTGTGAACGGCTCACGTATTTGTAAAATCTAAGTGACTCGTACAACATGAAATTCATATAAAACGGAATTATCAACAGTGTTGTATGGGGGTCGACTGTACTCATTAAAATTTTTTGAGCATCTGACTGGGTCCGAAACCGCAGATATTTAGGCGTGTGGCTTCGGTTATACTGCACTTTATATATGTTTTTGTTGTTGTTTTTTAACTCTCTGACCTGAGGGCACCAAGAGAGTCTTATCATCAAAGCCATTAGTAGGCAGACCCACAATGGGCGAGTGAGGTACGAGGTAAATTAATTCATATATATTTGGTACCATTCTTTTATCATAAACTTGGAGTCTTCTATATATGGAACAAGATCGAACCGCTCTGCTGAGTCTCTTCTATCTGGACTTGTTTTCCAAAATTTCAATTCTTCTTTTTTCTACGTATTTCAAGATATATTTTTGCGACTTACCGCCCTATTTTTTTGTTGATTTACTTCAACCTAAAACAAAAAAGCACAGATTTTGAGGGAAAGAACTATGGGAATGTATATACGTCACGGCTAATTCTCGTGGATAAAGATAAGATTAACCAGCTAATGCTAACTTTATTCGAATATTTCGGTTAAAGCAAGTAATAATCTATTCATTTTAAACTCTACCTGTATATAAAGTTTCAAGTCACAAGCGGATAAAACGGATGTATGAAAAATTCATACAATGTAGAAAAATTCATGTTTTATAAACCCATTTTAGATAAAACGAAGATAAAAATTTAGATTTTCATTTTAGCTGAATAATCTGAAATCTTTCCAAGGCAGATCGGGAGAATAACAAAATAATTCTGCTTTTAAAATCAGCTATAATTTATTAAAGTACCAATCTCTACCTTATGATCAACGCCTGGTATTTGCTATTATTTTAACATAATAGGGTATTAACAAGGGTTAATTGTAACCTTTGGTATACCCTAACAAAAATTGCAGGAGCTGTTTTGAAAGTCCTATCCAGAAAGCAGTGAAGTGTTATTTCCAAGAGTCTAATATTATCACGTGTGCCAAAGATTAACATTCTGTTGTTATTGTTTAAACCGGAATCGAACAGAAGGAAATCTTGTCCATCATGTGTAGTGATCTGAGATATCAATATTCAGTGGAACAGGTAGTGGATTTTTGACAGTTTTACGTTGACGTCTGATATTGCAACGTAAATGATGAACTGTAGGCAACTTGGCTTTTTCATCTTCACTTATCATTGAAATAGATTGCGTGATTATTTGTTGTGGTGCTTCTTCAGTTTCTTCTGCTTGTCTTTTCATTTGTTGAACTGCTTAGAGAACTTCTGTGCTGGATCTGAACCGTGAGAGTGATCGTTTAATAGTCCCACCAGCTCTTTTCCACGATTTTAATTTTAGCTTTGCATTCGGCGTTGTTACTCCTTCTTTCAAATTCAAATGATACAACATCATTTGCTAAATTTTTTTGCTTTACATAAACATGATCTTCGAAAACCACTTTCTCCTTTCCTTTATTAGATTTTACAAACTTTTGACATTTAAAATTGGGGGTTTATTTTCTGGGGATTTAATATGTAGGGGTTTTCCCCAGGGGGATTATTGTCCGAAAGGGATTTTATATTGGAGTTTTTATCCAAGAGGTTATTGTCGGGGGTTATTATACAGAAGGTTATTGTCCTAGAACCGGTTAATAATAGCTTTATCCGATTCACGTAATATATACTAAAATAATAATAAATTTGGATTATTTCTCCGTATTATTTATATTCTGAATATAAAAAACAAAATTAATTTCCAACAAACTAAATAAAATTTTAATGATTTTAAAGAGTTATTTTAACAGAATTGAGGGATTTTTCACGGAATATACTTCAACAACAAGCACTTTATATGTAGCCTACTTCATTCGTAATTTATTTATAATATATTTAATTGAAATTATAATAAATAAGTAAATGAATTATCATAATTTTCATCACATTATCCACTCATTATCATCCGGATAAAATGCTCATAATCAACGTAACCACTGGAGTCCACTTGATCCACCAACAATATATCTACTTCATCATCTGTTAAAGCTTCTCCAACTTTAGTCAAAATATGGCGCAGCATTATCGAATGTATCTTGCCAGTTCCATTAGGATCGAAAAATTTTAATCCTTCGATAAAATCTTCCGCTGTTTCCTTTATACGAAAATAATCCGCTTCTCGAAGGATTGGTAAGAATTCTTCTTTGCCGATCCTCTGACCATGGCTTAAATTCCTGCACAAGTATCTTATCTCTGTGGCAGTGGGATTGAATCCCATGGCTCTAATGGCATTGCCAATTTGGTGAGTGCCTATTTTTCCATCTTCTTTATCGCCAAAAAACAGAAATATTTCTTCTATATCCGGTTTCTTGTAGATATATTCTTTAGTTTCCGTCATTTAACGAAGAATAAAATGTATACCATCAAGTATTTAGAATATCTACTACTTGACAACTTTTTAGATTATAATACTAGGTTGATTAAAATTAAATTTATTTTATATTGTTGATCAATACAATAATAAATATCATTATAATTGTTACTACATAATTATAATTAATACAGAAACAACCAAATACGGAGGAAAAACTTTAAAATCGACGTTACTTTTTACGCAAATTTACGACTAGAAAATGGACTTCCATTTATTAAAAATAAGAAATAATTTTGTCCTTTGCAGAGATAAAAGAGATGAAATTCCATTGTAAGGTTGCGGATTTAGCCAAAATTCACGTCAGGACAAAAAGAGAATCGAAAGGTCATACGTGAATGCAGTTTGGACGTGGTTACAAATCTCAAATTTTTTCCAAATCTAGAATCAGAAAGTATGATTGGCTTTTCACGCAGCATTTATAGTTGTTTGATCAATGAAAGATCATAAGCAAATACTTAAAAGCTTCATATAAGAAGAAAAATTCATTCTTCGCAGAAGTGAAATTTAAAAGATTTCAAAACACTTTTACAAGTAAAGAGAGCAATCAAAGTTTTACTAAGACGTGCATCTATTCTAGAAAAATTCGTGTGTGTGGATCTGGACCTTTTTGTCACATCCACCGTGAGTTTACCCAGGCACACCTGGTGTCTGGTGAGAGACAGGACTCCACATATCCGGGACAGAACACCATAAAAAATTCCTGGGATTCGGTTTAAAAAAAAAAAAAAAAAAACAATCTGCGTAAGTGTATCTGAAAGAATGACTAAACATTAGACAGATTCTCTCCAATTTACTTACTAATTTCTCTGGTGTCTTAACATGATAAACACACCAGCTAATCGAAAAATGTCTTAGTTTCAATATATGATTTACTTCCAGTACAGAAATTAAAATAATTTTAATTGGTATCCATACCAACAGTATATTGTCAACGACCAGAAAAGTACGATAAATAAAGCAAAATATGCTAGAATTTCGTCATCATATTCGGCCAATTTATAAAAATCAAAATCGATGATACCCGTTGATCATGACTTTGATAAAAGAAACCAAGAATCACGAATCCTATGAATCTTATTCTTGCGATTTCTCAGCATTGTGGCCGGAAATGACAAGAATCAGCAATTATACATCCCGAAAATTAAGAAAATATTGGAAAAATCCAACAGTAAAGCAGATTATTTAATTACAAAAAACTACTTAGTTGCTATGACTAATGAAAATGCTTATTACACACCCAGCCGCCTATTTAATTAATCAAAATGTATTTCGAAAATCATTGGCATTCTAGATGACTTACTTCTATAAATTGATGCTAATTTTACTAATAAAAATAATAAATAAATTCTTTCTTTAAGACTGCTTTCTATTAATAAAGAAACCTTCTAAGTATTCCGTACATTCAAAATATATAGCAAAAGTGGCCCTCTCCATACAAGATCTCGACGGCTCTATTTTGGAAATTATCGAGGATCGTACTGGAGATTAGTAAAGTGCATAATCTGACGAAGACACGAGGGATCTGGTGAAGGGACAGGATCTGATAATACAAGAATTATCAGATTCCATCCTTAACCACCCGTCAGCCTCCTCATTATAGATCTAACCGAATCGATGCATAAAAAGGATCATCTTAATGCCCAAAGGAAGAAAGGGTTTAAGAAAAAATCTTCTTAAAATAATCATCATTAATTTGAAAGGACGTCAAACGTTTTATTTAAAAACTAGCTGTTACCCGCGACTTCGCCCGCGAAAATTTTGCAAGCAAACCCCATTTATATTCAGTATTTCAACAACCATAGTAATTGTTATATAACAACTACCGCTGAGAATGATGAGAATTGCCGAGAATCAAACGAACTATTTTCAATTTGATCAATTTTCTGGAACGTTTACAATCGTTCTATAATCGAACCAATATACAATAACAAATTCAAATTTACAACGGTTCGAACATTTTTAAAATCGAAATAGATAAAAATATTTATAACAATGTCTGAAATGTTATTAATTTAATACATCTAAGTACTCGATGAAGACTAAATCCTCTCCCTCTCCCCCGAGGGGGAATTTCGAAAAATCCCTTCTTAGCGTGCATTCCCATGGTATACCCTACTAAAACGCAAATAAAAACAAAAAATCGCATCTAAAATAGTACAGTAGAAGCCGTTTTTCCGGTTAAGCCTTAAGCCTTAATCCTCTCCCCCCGCGGGAGAATTTTGAAAAATCCCGTCTTATTGTGCATTCCCATGGCATACCCTACTAAAACGCAGATAAAAACAAAAAATCGCAT